GAGAGAAGATTTCACATATTATAAATTAGGGGTTCTGCTCTTGATGGCATTTGGGGAAACTCTGCCAGGGCTAGATCCTATTGGTGCATGTAAGTGCTCAAAGTCCCCATGAATAAGCAAAAAGCAGCAGTGATGGGATGACTTTAGGAGAAGAAAAATAAAAATAAAAATAAAGGAATTGTGGGAGGGAGGGAGTGTTTTGTTTTGTTTTTATTAAACATGAAAGGAAATTTCCAGCTGGTATAGAGGTGGTTCCATCCATGACATCTTGGAAGCTGAAAAGCAAAAAGGAAGGGGAACTTCATAAGGGGAGGGTACCCAGGACAGGCACTAAGACAGGAGATTCATTTCAGGCTCCAGAGAGAAAAGATTTTTAAAATTCTGGTTACTATTAGGACAGCAGCTGTTGTGTCAGGCCAAAGCAGTACCTTAATTTGACAAAGCTCTAAGCCAAGTCTAAAGGTCTTATGGCTGCATTTTTTATTTCTTTGAATAGGTTTATGCCTTCAGTTTATATACAGTATTGCAATTTGCAGTCTTCCAACTGAACACTGCTAGAGAATTTGTGAGCATCCACTAGCCTTCCTTTGTAATTTCTTCAGTTTATAATACCTTGATATTGCTTATTGATTAAATGAAATTGAACTATTGTTCTCTGAACAATAAACAAATTATAATTCCTGCTTTTTAAATACACTTTCGAAGAGATAGGGGATTTATGTTTGAATCATTCTTTGATCTTGCTGGTAAAGTGAATGCAATAGGAGAGCTACCAGTAAGTTATTTCACCTATGTACACTCAAAATGTGTCATAACTCAGTTAACAAATGAAATGTCTCTAATGAAAGACGTATTTATTCATTTGAATGCCCCTCTCACAATAGTGACTCCGTTTACTGTGTTGGTGTGACTCCTATCACAATCCACAGTCTATATAGGATTTAAAAGAGGGATTTACTCTGTAATGAATAGACTTATGCTGCCATTGCCTCTCAAAATCATGACCTCTGAAAGTTCCCAATTGAAATAATTCAGGCTTGTGTGTTAAAATCTATCAAGGCTATGAAATAAACAAAGTCTAAAATATTAAACGTCTGCTAAAATAAGGCTATTTGCAAAAAAGTTCTGATTTGAGAAGCAAATCAGCTCCAGCTGGTCCAGAATGCAGCCGTGCGGGTGGTTATGGGAGCGACGTGGCGCTCCCATGTGACCCCCCTCCTGCGCGAGCTGCACTGGCTCCCGATGGTCTTCCAGGTGCGCTTCAAAGTTTTGGTTACCACCTTTAGAGCGCTCCATGGCTTAGGACCGGGGTACCTACGAGACCGCCTTCTGCCACCAGTAGCCTCTCACCGACCAGTACGCTCCCATAGAGAGGGTCTTCTCAGGGTGCCGTTGATCAAATAATGTCGACTGGTGGCCCCCAGGGGGAGAGCCTTCTCTGTGGGGGCACCTGCCATCTGGAACGAGCTCCCCCCGGAGATACGCAGGATCCCGGATTTGCGCACTTTCCGCCGTGCCCTCAAAACATTCTTATTCCAGCAGGCTGGTCTGGCCTAACCTCCCTTTTAATTGCTTTTAAATTTGTTTTATAAATTGGGGTGTTTTAAATTTGTTTTGGGCCAAAGTATTTAACGTATTTTTAAATGTTTTTTAACGTTTGTACTATGTGTATTTTATCTTTTGGCTGTTCACCGCCCTGAGTCCCTCGAGAATAGGGTGGTATATAAATTTATTATTATTATTATTATTATTATTATTATTATTATTATTATTATTAATAATAATAATAATAATAATAATTGCCTGGTTCTTTCAGCAAGGAAAAATAGGCTTCATCTGTACTCAATTCATCTGTACTCTCAAAGCAGACTCTCCTTAAAGAGTTCATCAAACAAAATTTCAGCAGAAACTGAGGAAACGTTAATTCACCAAATTCTTGGCTATTAGTATTAAAGGCACATGGAGCATATCAGGAAAAAAAGAATGGGGAGAAGGAGGAAGGGAAATAGCTGGAAGTCAGACCAGATTCTGCTTAAATCAGGGGTGTCAAATTCGATTTCATTGAGGGCCGCATCAGGGTTGTGTTTGACCTGGGGTGGGGGGCATGGTCAGGCTGGGTGTGGCCAGCTCAATATTACTCATGTCAGGGACACCTGTGGTGGCTAAGTGCTAAGGCAGGACTTCCCTCAGACTTCCTTCCTTCCTTCCTTCCTTCCTTCCTTCCTTCCTTCCTTCCTTCCTTCCTTCCTTCCTTCCTTCCTTCCTTCCTTTTTCTTCTTTTTCCTTCCCTCTTCATTCTCCTTTCTTCTTCCTTCTCCTCTTTCCTTATTTTTCCTTCCTTGCTTTCTTCCCATCTTCCCTTCCTTTTCTTTCCTCTTTCCCTTTCTTCTTTCCCGTCCCTTCTTGGATGCGCAAATGCAAAAGGGGAAACATTTCTCCTTTTGTTTTGTTTTGCTTTTAGTTTGTTTTGCTAGCCCTCTGCCAGCGAAAGTGGAGCTGGGGGGGGGGGCGCTGAGAGGTAAAGTGAGATATTGGGTGCCAAAACAGTGTTACCACATAGGCCTGCTGGAAAGCTCTTTTTTTTTTTTTTTCTGAAACTGCACTGAAATAAAGCATTACATGGGGACTATGACCTCAGAGGGCTTTCTTGGGAGAACGTGTTAATAGACTGCATTCGGACAGTGGAAGCTGCTAATTGGCCTTCCTTTCTGTTTCACAGACCAAAAATGTTTCAATCTATTCTGTGAGCCTGAAAAGACAAGATTCCCCTGTGGAAAATTTAGGGAGGAGAAACCCATTTGCCATCCATAACATGATTCCTAAAAAAAGAAATATAATCATCAGAAACAAAAAAAAGAAAAAGGAACAAAAACAGACAACAGCATTTCCAAGATGCAGAAGGTGGGAAAAGATTCCCAAGGACATTAAAGTGATGGATATCAATTGCCCAAAGAGCGACAGCAGCTCGCTGGAAGGGAGGAAAAGAGTTTAATATAAAGGCAGCCTTTAGAGAGACAGAAAGAGAGAAAGAGAGAGAGAGAGAGAGAGAGCTGCTAAAAGTGCAGCAAAGATGACAAGGCCATACTCGAAGGTTTACGTTGTAGGTTATGCCCCCATTGAAAAGCAAGATCAGTGCATGTCATACCAAAAGGCACCATGAATCTACCACACCACACCACAATGCCGGCATGACCACCAGCATGGCTTTGACTGGTTGAAAGAAAAACCAAAACAAAAGAAATCATTGAAATATTCTAAACAAACCAACTTGCCAAGAATACCTGGGACCGGCAGCTGAAGAACAGGCGGCTTACCTTTGTGGATCTTTCATTGTTGTGCCAAAGAAATGAGAAATAACTCTTTTCAAGTAGGCAAGGAAGAATTGGTACAGTTTCTGATGAGCGATGGGGTGGGTGAGGGAACAGAAAAGGGGGATAAAAGGAGCAGGGGAACCATTTCTTTTCACCGACATACAGAGGAACTGATCCATGACATCACAGAGGTGCCTTCAAGAAACACATTCTTGTCTTTCACTTAAGAGGTCCACTTTCCTGACGCCCCATCCCCAGAATTCTTCCCTGCACTTCTATCAATATTTTAGTCTTTTCCACGGACACCTTTTAAAACACTTAGATGTCCCACCCAAGGCAGCATCTCCATCTACAGAGCAGGCATTCTTTTTCTCAGAATCCATCTTCTCCAAAGGGATTTTTGTTTGCTCAGAAACTTCCTACAATTAACCCATGTTGTTAATGATAGATGAATAGTATCCCCTTTGCAATTTCTTCCACCCTATCTGCTATCTAGACTACAGATCTGAATCAGTTTTTAATCCATTTCACTGTCAAGCATCCATCGGGGACCTTAGAACATATTTTCACTCTAAGGTTGTATTAATGCTATTTGAATTGTCATGGCTTCAGACCAGGATTCTTTTAGAGATCTGCACTTTCTACTACTAACCTTCATTACTTTAGTTCATCTGGTCCATCGGAATGTGGGAGAATGCTGTTTCAGTTGTCTCTAGCGAAGATGTGCCCAGAAGCATAAATTTACAACAGCTCTATTTTCCTCCCCCCTCCCCCCTGGGAAAAACATTTGGAGCAAAATTATATAACTCCAAAGATTCTTTGGAGGCAGGCATACCTCTAAACCTGTTTTTATGGCAATTTAGTGTGAAGTGTGGATGGCAAACTATATTTGAACTTGTGGAGCTGTCTCCATGAGAATCTGTTTTGGAGCAATTTCAGTTTATTCTAAAGGGTGCTCTGGTTGCCTCCAGATTTAATCCAGACCAGAATTACCTTGATCTTCCTATTAGTCATTGAGGCAGGAATATAAAAATCTACTCCAAATGTTTTGTGCCCTGATCTGGAACTTGCCCCTTTGCTCTCTCTGTGCCTCCTTCCCCATCTCTTACATGCAACAGCAAGTGACACACACCAAACAACACAGTAAACACCAATCACTGTCAAAATGCGTGGCTAGATCAAGAAATGAGGCTGGATCCCCAGCTGGTGTCGTTATCCCTTGCTCCCGCTCATGTGAGCGCTCAGCCGCTCCCCTGGCCCAGCCCCACCTCACCAGCTGGGGATCTGACTCCAGTCCATTAAAAACCAGCAGCCACGGAGAAAGTGAACGAGACGAGCAAACCAAGGAGAGAAGGGATGCAGGTGGTTAAAGAAGGAGAGGCAAAGCGCAGAAATTGTATGGCTTTATAGAAGTTGGAAATCCGGCCTGGCTGAGACCGGACAGAGTTAAAAACTGAAAGAAATAATATTGCAACAGTGGCTGCAGCAACGAGGGACTGAGGGATGGGTGGGTGGGTGGGTGGGTGGATAGAGAGAAGGAAAGGGATATTGTAGGAGGGGCAGAAATAGAATGGGGTGGGGTGGGGTTTTTTGGTCTTGTTTTGCTTTTTGTTTTAAATCACAAGCAGTAAGAGGAAATCAAGACTCACTCCCGGCACCAGCGCTGGCATTTGCGGCGGAGAGAATTACGTGAGTGGGGGTAGAAATATTGGTTACATCGTGCAGTTGACTGAGGACGGAAGAGCGGCGTCGGACAGCCCCCTGAAAGGAGCCGCTTCTCTTGAAGGTGCTAACTACCTCCATCTGCAGGAGAGAAAATGAGATAGAAAATTTGGGTGGCAGCGGACAGTGGCTGCAAATGGAACAGCCCGTGCCAGCCAAAATTGGCCATGCTGGGTATTTGGCCTCCTGCCAAAGACTGTGAAGCATTATGTGCCAGAGACCAGCTGGTGGAGTTGGCACCACCCTGATGTTCTTTGATGGAGAAAGCAAGTTGCACCAGCAGAAGATCGAGGAAACTGGTCACCCAAAGGCTCCGTTTCTGGATCATTGACACAAAGTACAAACCCATGGTATGTTACCCCAGAATTGTTCAGGGAAAACCAATCACTGGGTAAATAGATGCCAAACCTCCTATTAAGAACAGACTACAAGGTACACCTGAACTGTCAAACTCACTGCCAGAAGATGTGCTGAAGGGCCATGCTTTAAGATGAATCATAAAGACACATAATTCCACCTTTGAGTATCACCAGGCAAGGAGAAAGGGTTATAAAACATTTCCAAAATCTCAAACTGCTGTGTTTGAATTACTTTATAATTTCGATCTTCAAAAACCCACTCCTCCCTTCTCACTGGTATCTTTTTTTAGTGTGACTAAGGAGTTGCGTATTGAAGAGCAAACAGTACAGAGGAGGTAAAGGTAAATTCAAATAATATCAGGCTTGAGGGATGGCCAAGGATAGGAAGAAGCTTCAACAGCAACTTGGTTGTATTTCAGAGGAGCTCAATTTATCCTACATTAGTGTTATTCCTTCCTGTTTTCAAATTCAAAAGAAAAACAAAAAGCATACTATTACTATCAATTCACATCTGTGCCCTGGTTTCAAATCATAACTCTGCATGGGTTCAATAAGAATTGAGAAAGATCCAGCTTCCAGAAATCCTAGAATTTTGCAATTTCTTCATTCACAGTGATACATCCTTGGATGGTATTGTGCTTCATTGTTTGACTCTTTCCGAGCATGGATTACTACAGTATATAAAAGGCTACACTTACAATGCGTACAACACTCTAAATTTTCCTACTTGTAAAAACCCACACTTGCTGAGTCCAGTACATATTTTCACTTAAACATGGCTGAAACTTCTCCTGAGGCCAAGAACTCCATCCTGCACGGTCTTCCAGGTATAGAAATAGATTGAACTGGCATTTGAATTTTAGTTTGAGGCTGAAAATAAAACAAGGTCTTCCATACCTTGTCCTAAGCAGTTTAGGACAAGATGAGTAGCACCCGCCCCCCCAGCTCCCTTTCCCTGCTCACTATTGCTTCACTTCTGCCCTCAAAGCATCAATTTACTCTGCCTAATTATTAGGACTAGGCCTATAATGGAACATTGAGGTCTACTTCCCATGTATAGGAGAGGAAATTCTAATCCTTCTCTTTTCTGATGTTTCCACAGTGTTTTCAAATAAATGTTTAATTTCAAAATGACCTGACATAAACCTGAATAAGCATGATAACTCAGAAGGCCTACTAAATACACTATTTGGGAAATAGCATGAATCTTCTGGGAATCCATAAATCGCTGCAGTGCAAGCTTTGGATAGTATACAGTTATACAATCACTTAGAAAATAAATAAGAGGAAATATGAGGAAATAATATGCCATGGTGTTGATACAGTAAAAAAAATTCTTGGTTCAAAATTAGGTTATGTAAGTATGAACCTTGGAGAAAGAGCAAAGGATTGTAAATTATCAATATGAATAATAGTTAACCAGATATAACTGAATTCTTTTGTGGCTGAGCCCATCTTTATTACAGAATCACAGAACTGGGAAAGGCTTAATTCTCTCCTCTCAGTTTAAGAAATTACTCCTTAATCCCAGGTAATTCTAATGGGATTCCTCTTTATACATGTGGATAAACCCATCCATGGATAAACCGACTCTCAATTTTTTAAACCAAACTATTTTGAAAAATGTGCCATTATGGATAAGCCTATTGTGAAAATTAAACATACACAAATTTTGTGGGTCAGTTTATCCACAGGGCTTATCTGTGAATATATACAAAATAGACACAGGTACTTTTAAAAAGTTGAGGGGAAAGCCTATTGTATATACTTGCAGATAAGCCCATCTGTAGATAAACTGAACCCAATTTTGGGGGTGTATTTTGGCACCACAAATTCTTGGTTTATCTGTGAATATATACACTCTTCAGCTCACTAAGCCAAAATGTTTGGTTTCGCCTTAGCATGAAATATGAAACTGGGAAATATGAAACTAGGCAACCTGGTTAGTAAGCCATGTTTTATGACATAGCATGATAGTGACCCAGACATCCCCTACAAGAGGGAAGCCTGGCCCATCTTTCCCTAATCCAAGAAGACCATACTGGCTGGAAATTGTGGTAAATCCCAATGTATCTGAAGTGTGACAGAGAGGGTTGGCCATATTACATCAGACAGTGCACAAGAAAAACCTGCAAAGATTTCAATAAAAGATTAAAAGAAAATAAACCATCATGTCTTTCGTAAACCCATCATGCATTTTGTGTGGTTAAAAAAAAAAAGAAACCCCACATTTTAATCTAGCTGTTATTTCTAGTTCATGCAGATGTGTTGGTTGTAACATATTCATGAAGTAGGTAATTGATCTTTGGGCTTCACCATACAGTGAATTGTTGCATTATTGGTGATAGTTTATGTATATAAATACTGAGACAAACATCCCTTCTTATGCTGTAATATCTACTGTGAAAAATGAATGGATCAATCCTTTTGGTGATGTTTCTCTCTTATTTATGTAGGTAGGTCAGGTTCTTGTTCTTGGATGATGGAAAGGACCTACTTCATCACTTTAGTTTGGTTCACTCATTGTTCTAAGCCAAAATCAAGGAAACCAAATGATGGCTTAGCATGATGCATAGTCCCAGCCATTGTATGCATAAGCTGATTAAAACTGGGAACAACTGAGGAGGATACTGAATGGGTGAGCTTCTTAATTTGCACAATTGACTAGACAAAGGAAAGTATGAGATTTCAGTATGCTTAGAAAGGATAAGTAAACCTTTTCGTTCCCACACATGAAATAGATTGGTTGGAAAGAGAGTGTACGTCACAGTAAATGACAGCAAAGTTGCATATATGGATATGTTTGTATCCGTGTGAAAAGGAAATGTGAAGGGGAAGGAGCAACTTAGGATCCACTTTTGTCACCCTGAAACGTGTCCATTGTCAGACTCTACCTTAAATTCTAAGCATGAATTTACACCCATTTATTACATGTCTTCCCACACTTCCTGCAAAAAAAGAGAAAGAAATAAAAAGGAAAGGAAGGAAGGAAGAGAAAGAAAGAAAGAAAAAGAAAGAAAAGAAAGAAAGAAAAGAAAGAAAGAAAGAAAGAAAAGGAAAGAAAAGAAAGAAAGAAAGAAAGAAAAAAGAAAGAAAGAAAGAAAGAAGGAAAGAAAGAAAGAAAGAAAGAAAGAAAGAAAGAAAGAAAGAAAGAAAGAAAGAAAGAAGCAAATTTATGCATTCAGGATATTGATATATTCAGTGGGATCAGCACATAAAACTATCCCTAGCACTTTTAGACTTGAAAGATGTGTTATGTGTACATGTACCCTCGTCCCCCCAAAAATTAGAGTAGATGTTCAGCACTACTTTTCTACGCGTCGGGAAATTTTGGTGATGTTTCACATGAAAAAACTTCTAATGTGAATATATACATATTACTTGCAATGGAACATTATGTAATTCACAGAAAAGCTTGTTCATATGAATTCTACTAAATTTATAAATGGGATGTATTATATCAAGGAACCCCAACTTACTATTTTTAAGAGTAGTCAGGTATGTCACAAAGGAAGAAATAGCTGGGAAGGGGGAAAGTCTTTTCTTAGGGAACCATGCTTGGTGAGGAATTATTATTATTGTTGTTGTTGTTTACATATTATGGTTAATCCAAGATCATAGAAGTTCTCAAAAAAGGAAAGCTTATATGATGCACCCTGTTACAAATATAATTGTGTTTGAGAAGTATTACATTCTCCTCATTCCATATAATTCATGACTACCAATAGTATTTGGACAGTATCACAAAATCAGCATGGCCCAAAGAGAGCCTAGTAGAGAGTGGAATGAATGTTCCCACTGTAAGATATGGCCTGCATCTATCCATGGCACAAACATACATTGACAGCTTTTTTTTATTCCACAGTGTCCCCATGTTGCTCATCCTGTTCCCAGTAGGATTAAGGTATTTTTCTTATATTTATTCTGACACAGATAGCCTCAAGGTGTCTAAAATTTAGTAAGCTTTCTCACCCCTTACCTTGGAGGAAAGTGAGGTAATGGCAGAGACTGGGAATAGAGATAAAATAGGGATTAACAAAGGGCTCAGCAAATATCATGCCAGTATTGTTATCTGCTGACTGGTAGATGGCTGAATAGCACATCAGAAATGGGGAAAGACCCATGAATTTACCAGGATGGGTTTTGCCAAATCACTCTTTGAGCTTTACTTCTCCACTTTTGCAATAGGAAACATGTCACTTATACTGGCATGTACTAAAACGTCTTTATGAGGTCACAAGATTGTTAAATTAGACATACTGTATAGATCCAGATGAATCAGTCAGCTTGGAGATATAATATTGGTACAAACCAGTTTTGAATTCTTGATCTCCTGCTGGTGCAAATGGTATGAGCAGGCAGAAGCGGGAGAATTTCCAGTTGGATACCAGTGGGTTTTGGTGCAAGGCATTTTGAACTACAGGAACCTCCCTGCTCCCCTCTCCTTTGGTTAATCAGCCTTGTAGAAGCTGTTCTTCTTTTGACTCATTTGACTCAGATGGGTGTGGCACTGTTGCTACAACTTACATCTCAAGGGGATGAAGTTGATTTAGTAAGCTGAGATGAGGGGTCTGCACTGAATGAAAGGAACTGGGGGTTAAGCGTGCCTGAAACATCTACATTCCATCCTGGAAACCTTGGTTCTTACCCCTGAGGGGGAAAGATTGGGAGGGGAGCCAGATTCCTGGGTTCTGTCATGAAAGATGGGGCACATGGGCACCCTTCATCGGTGTAAGTTGATTAAGAGCTGTTGTTGGGGAAGGGTTGGAAGACATGATGCTTGGGTGGCAGTCATTTCATTTTAACCATTCAACAGCAATTTTGATACATCACATGCTATTGGTCATTTCTCATCATGCTCCCGGCCAGGGAACATCCTTGATCCAAGAGCATCAACTCTTAAGGCAGGAACATTTTTTTACATGCTAAAAGAAAAAAAAAAGAGTTGCAACAAGGCACATGTCCCGCCCCCTCTTTGAGGCAGTGGGAGGAAGTGGGAAGGGATGGGTGGGGAAAGGCTGCAACCAGAAAGCATGTAATTAGAACATAGAAGCCAGACATGGGTGTCTTTGGAATCATGCCGTTCACATGGACCACTGGTGACCACTCATACCTGTGTACAAATGCTATAAATACCCGAGGAGGAACAGCCTACCTTCCGATGAGTTCTGTGTCCTACCCTTTCTCCAGGGATCTGTTGTTCCCTTGTTGTCGGGTTATGATTGCATTGACATTGCCCACAAATTTATGAGTGCAACTTTTATGTGCCTGATAATCCTTGCTTTAATTTTTGTTTAAAAGGAACAATTCTTTATAAGCCCAGGTAAATCAAATGAATTATTAATTAGAATGATTTCGGGTTGCTTCCAAACTGCAGGATTCTAAAACTTATTCAGTCATTATTTTTTCTGCAATAAATTATATGCTGAGTGGTAATTGATTTTTCAGCATCAGACTGTACAATACTTGTGTGGGGAGATATTTCATTCCCCCCACCCCCAGTCTACTAGAAGATGTAATTTAACTGTGTGGGTAATGGGTAATTTAAGTCATGTATTTATAAATTTAGCAGGCTGATTGGCACAATGTTTCAAGTTTATTGAATTGTATTTTTTTAAAAAAAGAAAAGCTGAAATGGATTTTAATCCAAATGTAAAGGCTTATTAAAAATACTGCCAAAACAGCTATCTGAAAAGATAATAGTGAAATATATTACTAAGAAAAGAGCAGCATTAACTATCCAAAACATCTCTGTACTCATCAAAGCCACACCTTTTTAAAAACAAATGGGGAATTTGAGAGATTGTGCTGTTGTTCCACTCCTTACAAAATGAATAAAATAAAATTTCATGAATTTTCAAAAGAACGTAAAAGAGGCACAAGAAAAATATATGAGAGCGGGAATTTGAGATAGATGTTTGATAACTGCCCCATCTCCATCCTGGGTAGTAAAGTTTTGACTATATGAATTCCAAAATAAATATCAGTGGGGAAGCATCCTGAACAGAAGTATTTCCAATGGGGTGGAATGGTATCTTTTACATTTTACAGACCTATTTCTTTCTAGACCCCCCCCTTTTTTTCTTTCTGTCAAAATGCCATTTCCTCTTAAATAGAGCCTTGGTAGTACAGCGGTCTAAAGCACCCCTGTTGTTAAGAACAGCTGCCTGCAATTTCTGCAGGTTCGAATCTCACCAGGCTCAAGGTTGACTCAGCCTTCCATCCTTTCTAAGGTAGGTGAAATGAGGACCCAGTTTGTGGGGGCAATCAGCTGACTTTGTATAAATATACAAAAGGATGAAGGCTATTGCTGAGCACATTGTAAGCCGCCCTGAGTCCCCGGAGAAGGGCGGCATATAAATCAAATTAAAAAAAAATAAATAAAAATGGAGTGTTCTCTCGTTGTATCAGACAAGTTACAAATGCCAAATGGAGCATGTATCTAATCTAAATTTCTTGTGGAAAACTTAGGAACTCTGGCTTTGTGGAGTTTGTCTTACTGATAAAGCAAAGTCCCTGCTTACATTTTAATCTATTATATTGTATTCCATGTAGCTCGCCATCACAAAAGGAAATACTGTATGTGTGCGTGTGCAGAAAGATTTCTCCTGCTTCTCATTTGATACTCAAGGATTCAACCAAAAATTGATTGGCCAATTTTTTTTTTTTACCCAGAAGGCAGTCAAGATATAGCTATAATGTTTTACCTTCCCCAATATTCTTTCATTTTTCAACTGATAAACATAGATTTCTCTTTCTTATGCAAATATTTCTTTCCTAAAATCCATTTCAGCCAAAGAAAGAAGGGCTTTGAAAGAACCTAAACTGACTTCATATTGTTTTTGTCTCACTACACTTATACAAGGAATATGCCCATTTATGTCTTAGGTACCTATAGTAATACAAGTTGCAAACTGGGCTTGTTTCTAACACTAAGTCCACTTGTGAACTAACACACAAGCCTGCTGTTTGTGATATCCTGATCCTGCACATGAGCAAGAAGTGAAGTAATAGAATAAAGATTCAGCAGGCTGTTATGCGTGAGGCCCCAGCTCTAGTACCATCATGGACATTTGGACCAAGCTCCCCCCAAAAAACAGATACAACATGCCATAGCCAGCATTATATGGCCGCTTTGGACAATACATGTTATGTAGCTCTTACCATTATCATCTTTCTCCATGGAAATGCACAAGCCACATGGTGGGATTTAATAACCTTGTGGTCGGAGCTGAGTCAATTTGTTGCCATACTCATACTGGATGTCCTTGGACAAGACATCCTGTTTCAGCTTCTTTTCTTTCTATGTCTAGCTTAATGAAAAAAAGGACTAGGGAAAACATGATAGCAGTGTTCCAATATCTCAGGGGCTGCCACAAAGCGCCTGAGGGTAGGACAAGAAGCAACAGGTGGAAACTAATCAAGGAGAGAAGCAACTTAGAACTAAGGAGAAATTTCCTGACAGTTAGAACAATTAATCAGTGGAACAACTTGCCTTCAGAAGTTGTGAATGCTCTAACACTGGAAGTTGTTAAGAAGATGTTGGATAACCATTTGTCTGAAGTGGTGTAGGGTTTCCTGCCTGAGTAGGGGGTTGGACTAGAAGACCTTCAAGGTCCCTTCCAATTCTGTTATTCTATTCTATTCTATTCTATTCTATTCTATTCTATTCTATTCTATTCTATTCTATTCTATTCTATTCTATTCTTTCTATTCTATTCTATTCTTCCTTTATCTTAAGAGTATCTAGCATGACCTATTGCTGTATAAATTACTACCACTAACTCTACTACCCTGTTTCCCCCAAAATAAGACATCCCCTGATAATAAGCCCAATCGGGCTTTTGAGCGCATGGCAATAAGGCCAAGCGCTTATTTCAGGGTTCAAAAAAATATAAAATAGGATCTTATTTTTGGTGAAACACGGTGCAATTTTTCTTATTGGTACTGGTATTACAATGACTATGGCACTACTGTTACAATTGCTGTCACTGTCTTAGTTACAGATTTGCTGTCTTTTTCGTGGAAAATTTTTAAGTAGCCCAACAACAACCCAAAAATAAATAAAAATCACCATCCCATTTCTGCTTCTATAAGCTGCCCCTATTCATGCATCCAAGCGCGGCATTCATTAGTTTATTCTCTTGAAACAAGGCAGTGTGGAAATGCCTGGCATTAAAGGTCTCTCTCTCTCTCTCCACCAGGCATGAGCATCAGGGTGAATCCACCATGCCCTGGGAAGGGGTAGGAGATAACCAGATGAAAGATTTGTCTTCAAGTCACCGCTAAAGCAAAGGAAGGATTGGGTAAGGGGGTGGGGAGGGAAGCATTAGTCGGAGTCAGAGGTGAGGAGGCTCCTCCTCACAGTCTCATACCTGGGTCTGGATGCGGTTGAGGCCACGGAACCACAAGATCTGGCCACGGCGTAGCTCCCGCTCAGCGTGGTCAATTTCCTCCTCATCCTCAGCCATTTCCTCATCTGTGATCTCATCCTTACCAGGGCCATGTCCTGCTTCCTTCAGGCATTTAAGATGGCTGGTAGGGATGGTGGCAATGACCTGCAGCGGGGAGTAAATACCTAGGCTACTTTTCAGTCTTTTCTCTGTAGAAGATATCTATTGCTCAGTTTCAATGTTTTTCAGAAAAAAAAAATAGTAATAGTAACATGGGGCAACCATAGATCGCTTAATGAAAACAATAGCTCAGTAAACCATGGATGTGGAAAAGACATATTCCATGCTAGGGGCGATTAGGAAGTACTCTAGATTATACTACATTGCAAAAATATACAGCTGTAATAGAAAAGTAGTATAATAATTTTATGTAAATATATAGGGCAATGGGTGAAAAAGAGAGCAACAGTTTTATAAGTCTGGAGCATCCTATCTATGAGCAAATTTGAAATGAAGAACTTTCACTTGAAAAAAGAAGAAGGAAGGTGGGATAGATAAGTATGGGAAGAAAGAGAGAGGTATATAATTCTAAAAAAGGTGCAGCAAAAATGACTAAGAGAAGTTTTTCTTCTCTCCTGTTTCATATTTTTTGGGAGCATAAAACTGAAAACAAGACCTGGAAGGAAATACCAATACAGATGGAGAAATAAGATAGAGCATATACCGGTGTAAATGAAAATGATTTCCTTACCTGTCCCCAGACGAGTTCCCCGAAGCCCACAAAAAGACACCACAGCCATTGCTCTGTATTCAGTGGAGAACAGCTGAATGGTTTCCCCCCAAACTGCACAATGACGATCTGTGGGGTGGGAGTGGGGAGAAGAGAGGGATGGTAAGTTGATAGCCAACATTTTCGCACTAGAAGAGGCTTGCCTGAACAGGACAGAAGGAAAATCTGGGTCAGAGACAAGACAAAGAACAGATAGGAACAGATCCAAGATCCAGATCTGAGGAACTGGATCCTCAGGCAAATGTAAGAAAAGGGTTTGAAAACAAAGGACCAAGGGACCAAAATATTATGTGTTGCAGGGCAAGAAGCACCAGAGGTCTAAGGTAAAAGCTCAAAGCAAATAAAATATCTGAGACAAACTGTCTATATACAAATAATCCATGCATGCATTGGGCTGCTTGGGGTAGGAGGGCCCTGGGGGCACTCAGGTATGGGCAGGAACTCCACCCCATTAACCACCTGGAACGGGGTGAAACCGGTGGTGCATCCATTCATTCCTCTCTCCTTCCCTCCCTCCACCCACCCACCAGCCTCACTAGGTGGACTAGACCATGAAATCAATGCCACTAGAAGGCTAAAGCTACTTTAAGAGAGATTGTCTATAATATATAATATATATAATATAATCTTGCAAGCCCGGTTGTGCTGCCCCTCCTCCCACTTCTTATATGTTCTGTGAGTCAGGAAAGCATCTGACTGATCCTCTTCCCAGTGTTACCTTAAAAACAGGCTTAAAAATGTCTCAATGTCTATTTGTCCAGGTAAACCATTTGTGCATTATTTCCATGATGCACATACTATCCATCTGTGTATACACAATTTGTATTTTAGTGAATTTGTCTTCTGTCAACCTTGCTTCTCCCTGTCTTCCAAGTCTTTCCTTCCAGTTGCAGTCCTTACTGTCAGGATGCATGCTTAGGGCAGTTATACAGTATGTCTATCTTGTCTATCTGTGAAGTGTCAGGGACCTTTAATAACTATGATCTACAAAAGCATGCATAAACATTTACATTTCATACAGACACAGATACAGGCACAACACACACACACACACATCAGTTTTCCTGACTAGCTATCCTTAAATGTGTTGGGATTACCTAGGATGGGAACATTGACATTACTGACTAAGAATCTGAGAGTTGCATGTAGATTGCATGTCAACACATCTAGAGGGCACCAGGTTGTGGTGGCACAGTGGTTAGAATGCAGTACTGTACTACAGGGCTAACTCATTGCTCACTCCAGGAGTTCCATCCTGAGTGGCTCAAGGTTGACTCAGCCTTCCATCCTTCTGAGGTTGGTAAAATGAGGATGCAGATTGTTGGGGGCAATATGCTGACTCTGTAAACCGCTTAGAGAGGGCTGGTAAAGCACTGTGAAGTGGTATATAAGTCTAAGTGCTATTGATATTGTGGAAGTCCACAGAAAGAGGAAGTACACGCCTCTTTTCTATCTTTTTCTAACTCCATCCAGCTTTTCACAACTGTTTGCTGCAAGCTTATACCTGTATGCCAAAAGTGCCCAAAACAATGCTGCAGAAGATGGGGTTGCTAAAAATGCCATCAAAGACATTGCGCTCTCCGTGGATTTTGCGGGCATTGATCTCATTGAACAGCTGCATCATGACAAAGATGTTAAAGATGATGGTGTAATGCTCCGAGGGCGGAGAATGCAGGGGAGCGTTGCGGCCACAGTCGATGTCAAATATAACCTCTCCTGCGGGGTAAGAAAAGGGGGTAAAGCAATTGCATCACGGACCGAGAATGTCACTTCCAACCAGCCAAATTCATCCCTCCACTGAAGTTCCAGTTTGGTGTTATACCGAATGGACAAGTAAGCTCCCACCCCCAGATTCACTCTTGCTGCTTACCTATCAGCCCCTCATGACAGACGACAAGCTGCCAGCCCAGACATTCAAATCAACATGTTGGGATTGGAATCCTAGATCTTCTTGAGAGATGCAAGACTTCTTATTAGGAGGGATCTTACTTTAGCATGTAAAAAAAAGGGCTTCTCCCTCAGCCCCTCCCTTTCCAGGGGGAAGAGCTTTGGTTCTCTTGGAAACGGCAGGCAGTACTCCAGGAGAAAAGGAATACATAGACGTGTGTTATGGTGGGTGGGAGAGAAGGAACTAAGATTCTCCTTCAGCTCTGATTAGAGTGGAATTTCCAGTTAACTGTTGAATCTAAAGGAATTTGATTCAAGCCCAATCTAGTCTTTAGAGCAGGGGTGTTAAATTCAAAGCCCTCAGGCCGGATCTGGCCCATGGGATGCTTAGATCTGGTCCGCAGGGCTGCCCTGGAAACAGCGAAGGGTCGGCCCGCAGTGCTCTGCCAGTGAAAACAAAGCTTGGGACCTGTTTTCATTGGCAGAGCAATCAGGCCGCCATAAGTGCTCCTGACATGAGTGATGTCAAGCTGGCCCTGCCCAGCCTGGCCACGCCCACCCCTGCCCCAGAGTTCAAACACAACCCTGATGCGGCCCTCAATGAAATCGAGTTTGACACCCCTGCTTTAGAGTAATGGGGAAAAGGTTAGCTAAGAATTCTGCTAAGTTTAGTTTTACTGAATGTTCATCATTTCTGGTATCTGTTATTTCTGTACAAGCTCAGTCGCTTGGGGCTTTGTAACTTGGAACTTCTTTACATCGACTTTGTAACTTGGAACATCTTTCCTGCTTCCTAGTTTAGAGGAGCAACCTCTTCATCAGAACTTTCTAGTAGTTCTTTCAGAATGCTGACCGTGGTTTTAGAAATTCTCTGTTTTTATCCCCTCCATCACTAATTGTGTTACAAGTGACTATTTAAAGTTGAAAAGAAAATTTTATTTTCTCCTTTCCCCCCCAACTAAAGTTTGATTCTATTTATACCTTGTGAAGTTGAACTCTTCCCCCCCCCCCATCTGAATGCCCCAATGCTACAGGACAAACAGATGGCGCTATGGAATTATTTTTCTCCCCTTTCTCTCATTCCTTCCCTTTAAATTTGAAAAAAAAGGTAGCACAGGTTGTAAAACTCTTGTCACACCTGCCAGGGATTAGGGATAAAATACCCCTGGAAGAGAGATGTGACAGTCATCACTACTGAATTGCCTTGATGAGGCAAAACTAGGCCATAGAAACCCAGAAAATTTCTGGGACAATAAGTGGAGTTCTCCAACCTTTTACCCTCTACCCTTCTATAGTTCACTTATAAACTCACCCACAAAGAGGAGAGTGAAGATGATAATGAGCTGGTACACAGCATGGCCCAAAATATTCTTCATCATGGTCCGGGATATGAGGGGTTTGTTGCGTCCGTAGGGCTTACGCAGCAGCAGGGCCTCAGTTGGGGGCTCAGTGGCAAGTGCCAAGGAAGCAAATGTATCCATAATGAGGTTCACCCACAGCATCTGTACTGCCTTGAGAGGAGAATCCTTTAGGAGAAATTGAGAAGGAAAATTGTAACATCTCCAGGAAGTGAAGGAAACATATACCCATCCACCTCTAGGTACACTAAGCATACTCTATCCACCTTAAGATACCAATGGACTTGCTTAGAAATGAGCAAACTTTTTTTGTAACACAGTCAGCACTAGTCAAAGTTTCTGGTACTTGGGGTGTATTAGGTGAACTTCATCAATATATTGATGTATGTATCATCACAGGGGGCATTTCTAGGCAGAAGATCTCAAGAGAGATTGAGGCCTTGTGGGAGAGCAGCTATGCTATTCTATGGTAATCAAAATTCAGAAGGTATCTGGTAGCAACTTTGTCAGGCAAAAAAAGCTGCTATCAGACTACTTTTGAATTTCAGCCTGGGTCTGTGTTTCAACTAAGAGTCGAGTTTATGAATAGCTGTCTCAAAATCAAAAGGAGGAGGAAATGGAGGAGGAGAAGGAATCCATCAAGAATGAAAGGACAAAACAAGGCAAGTCTTGCTTTCCTGAATTTACCTGTTGATAGACAGCTCCAAAGACTCGTCCTTGTGCTCCATTTTTATTCTTTTATTTTAAACTGGATTGAATTGGATAGTCCTTTAAATAGAAGATGACAGTGAACAGAGTACTGTATTGTACAGTTTGGGAGTAACTTGCAAGGTACAATTGACAGGTAGGGAGAAAGTTAACTCTTTCACCTGTGATATCTCCTGCCTGTTATTTCCCTCTGGAAATCTCTGCAGTATCATTAAAATTAACAAGAAGTTGGGAACCAAGTGTCTGCCTTGAACTGAGTCACTCTGACTCTACTTTGGAGATCTGTGAGATATACTGATACTAGAGTATAAATCATTGGGCTAGATTAGCCAGAACTATGACCTGGTGTACAGATTTCAAATGTTTATTGATTCAGTCTGCTTTTCACAGTCTCATTAGGATCTGGTATGTAATAATCTGGATTAAAAGAGTGATTCAGTACAACAATAATGCAAATGAAAACGCCTTTACTTCAATAATTGCAGCATGTTTCTGTCACTGAGGTAATAAGCAGATTCTTTCCCTTTTTATGGGAGAAACAGGAGGATTGGGTGCAGTGTCTATCCTTGTTAGCACAATTCTTGTGCTCCTTTCCTTGAGTGGTAGAGCAGAAGGACTAAGGATGCTTGGGGGTGGGCCAGGGGGAAGAAGATAACTACTTAGATATGTCAGAGAGGACTCAATCATCTAGGCCAAAGGTATCTAAAAAGTTGAATCATGGAAACTGGACCAAAATTTGTTAATCTGAGACATTTCGTTTACCATCCAGAAAACTTCCTCAGTCAAAAAATAAAAAAATTAGGCAGAGATTTTTTTTACATTTAAAAATTTTTTTTGACTGATGAAGCTTCCTGGATAGGAAGGGAAATGTCTCAGATTAACAAATTTTGGTCCAGTTGCAGTGGTGAAATCCTCCAAGGTTTGCCACTGGTTCGCTGCATGCGCATGCGCAGTGCGCACCAAATGTGCACTTTGTGTGGAAAAAGGAGGCTTAAGAAGGTAAGTAGGACAGCGAGGGAGGGAACAGCTGTGCCGCGTGATTTAGATTCACTAGAAAGCAGGATTTCCTGCTTTCTAGCGAATATAAATCGTGCGGCACAGCTGAATGTTGGAAATACCGGTTGGGATGAACCAGTAGCATTTTTTTATTACTAGCTTTTATTACTACAGGTTCACCCGAACCTGTGCGAACCGGTAGCATTTCATCCCTGTCCAGTTGCCATGACTCAACCTTTTAGATGACTACTTAGTGTGGCAGATGATCGGGAAGAGCAACCAACACACCCACTATTAATATTGGGGGCTGCTGGGGCTTATTCTGCTCATTTTAATATGGCATAATTTTTCATCATTTTTTAAAAATGCTTTATAGTCAGATTAATAGTATACATTTGCAGATGTTCATCTAATTATTTTTACACACACATACAAACACACACTTGTCTTTTCTGAAACGAAAAGGTGATAAATGCATTTAGTTCAGAGACTAAAAATATGAGAGGTACTACTAACTGGGAGGTAAGTGGGTAATCCAGGATGTCTCCAGAGCAGGGGTCTCCAATCTTGGCATATCTATCTATCTATCTATCTATCTATCTATCTATCTATCTATCATCTATCTATGTATGTATATAATGATGGCTGTCTGTGTGACTGTCATCCCCGCTCTTGAATCCTCCCATCACCCAAGTTCATTGCTATAAGAAAAATTGCTAAATTGAGGTGGAATTTGGGGTCAGCCTCATTTTCAGCAAAATCTTACACATGACAGATGGTATCTTTCAAAAGTCATTTTCCATTCTGTTAAATACATGTCAAAATGTTAAGAACTTTCTGAGCTCAGTGCCTTCCAGATGTGTTAGAACTGCATGCTGTCTGGTGTCAAGCTCCTGGCTTCTAATTAAACCCAAATTAATTTTCTTTCCAAGCACGATTCTCACAGTCTCTTTGGCAAGATGTGCTGAGATGAAAGGGACAGGGTTGGAAGCATTCCAGTAACTCAACTATTTCCCAACATTCAACCACTTTATATCCCAATAGATATTATGAAAAGAGAGAGTTTGATATGGTGGTTAACACACCAAGCTAGACCATCAATTCTAAACTTGCCTAAGGTACAAAACTGGCTGGGTGATCTTAGGCCAGTCACTCACTCTTGTCTCTTAAGAAGGCGACAAGGGCAAGCTGTTTGTGAAAATCTTACCAAGAAAACAGCAGGGACTTGTCCAGGCATTCACCAGGAATCAACACTGATTTGAACACACACACACACACACACACACACACACACACACACACACACACATATACACACACACTATTATGGAGGAGTCCATGTTTTAGTTTTGACTTTATTTCCATGAACCAGCAAACAGCCAGATCTTTTCACTGGTAAGGAAGGAATAGGAAGACGTCTCTTTCTAAAGCCTTCTTCTGAATCTGTCTGTCTAGGGACAGAATTTTGGGATTTGTCACACACCTGGACAGATACTCAATTGGAGAAAGCTATGACCAGTGCAGGAAATTTAGGAATCAAGTATCTGAAAAAATTTCTGCTTTACTACCTGTATAGTCATGATAAAGTTGGAAGGTCTCCTCCAGCTGCCCTCACCATCTGTTTGTTTAAAATTTTTTAAAATTTTAATTTATTAACAAGTAACAAATGATAATACAGTGGAGTATATATACAAGCAAAATACTAATAGCCTTATTTAATTAAATTATTTAGAATTCTGGACCTGGGTAGTAGCCAATCATTATGTCTGTGTTTAAACCAGATGAAATAAAAAAAAAATCATCTTGTATTTTATCATAATATGGTACTACCATCTTTTTAAGTTGGATTTTCCATTAGAGTAATTTTCTAGCATCTCTGCCATCATATAGAGTTATTCAGATCCTTTCCTGATTTCCAGGGTCTTGCTACTATCTATCTCATTGCAACCAAGAAGAAAACTATTAATTCTTTATGTTTCAAAATGTTTCTTGGATTACTAAAAAACAAAAAAACTCCACATTCTATAAGTTCAATTTAGGATATAATATATAGGTACTTGTGCTCGGCTTATGACCACAATTGAACCCAAAATTTCTGTTGCTAAGTGAGACATTCATTAAGTGAGTGTTGCCCTATATTTCGACCTTGCTTGCCACAGTTGTTAAGTGAATCACTGCAATTGTTAAGTTAGTAACCCAGCTGTTAAATGAATCTGACTTCCCCAATGACTTTGCTCGTCACAAAAGGTGATCACATGACCCCTGGACACTGAAACTGTCATAAATATAGGTCAGTTGCTAAGCATCTGAATTTTGATCATGTGACCATGGGGATGCTGCAAGGGTCATACATGTGAAAAACGTTTTTCAGTGCCATTGTTACTTCGAACAGTCACTAAACAAATTGTTGTAAGTCGAGGCTATTTCTTTACATTTTCTACAGCATATTTTCATCTGGGATCACATAGATGGCAACCCGAAGGAGACTGTGTTAAGTTTTTTATTTTCCAAGGCTTTCTTTTCAGTTTTATTTACATGTTGTCATGTTTTATTAGCATTTTAAGTAGGTTTTATAAATTGCCCTGGGAGTTTTAATGAAGGGTAGTATGGAAAGAAAGGGGAATAAATAAAAAATAAAATAGAGTCAGGCTTCATCTCAGGTCTAATGAAAGAAGGGAAAGTTGAAAAGGCATTTTTTAAAAATCCTTTGCATCTGTGCTTTAAAATTCATGAGGGTTATTTGACTCTATACTGTTCTGTATTTCTCAATCCAGTATATAATATTTAAATGGACTGACCCAATAACACAAGTTGTGAGTAATTGGAGCTGAAGCATGTTTGACTGTAGGTATAAGCTAAATTTAAAGAAAGAAATCCATCTAAAAAAAAAAGTGAGAAGTAGCTGGTTTTTATGTGCCTGCCCTGCATGCATATTTGTTAGCTAGAAATGCTTTGCTGACTGTTTACCCAAAATTGTCATTTGCAGAAAATAGCAGATTGTGTGGGAGCAACCCTCCCCTCCACCTAATAATGTCATGTATCTATCACCAATTGTGTGGATTGAACCAAGATCTTGGGACAATCTGATCAGATCTTGGGACAATTTTAAGCTGATTTATCTAACTTCGTTGTCCACTGTCAGGCCCTATATGGTCCTTGACATCAGGGAATTTTACCATAGAGCAGTGTTTCTCAACTTTATGGGTAGATTTCAACTCCCAGAATTTCCCCAGCAAGCTTACGAGAATGTGTATCACAAAAGACATATGCATTTCCTTTATTAGAGTGGCTTTATAAGTCCCCCGCCCTCAGCCACATATGAGGATGTAGCTTCACTGTGTAAAGGAAGACTCAATCATCCAGGCCAAAAGCACCTAAAAAGGTTAAATCATGGCAACAGAGCCAAAGTTTATTAAACTGAGACGTTTTGTTACTCATCCAAGTAACTTCTTCAGTCAAAATGAATAAAATTCAGTTAGGCAGAGAATCAGAGAGTTGTTGGAATGTACTAACTCTTGCCATACCAACTGCAAGGGTTTCTCCCTGAAACGTATTGCGTTCAATGTATTGTGTTCTCATTGATTGGAACACTCCAAGATGATGTTGCACAGAAGAATACTAAAACTTGTTCTCTATCATCCCAGAGGGAAGATTAATGGATTTAACTTACACAAAGGCAAATTCCAGCTGAAGAATTGGAAACACTTCTTAGCAGTAAGAGAAGTTCAGTGGTGAAAATAATTACTCAGGGAAGTAATGGGACTTGCGTTGAACAGCCCTCAGTTGGGAATCTTTTTGTATTCTTGCGTGGATCATAGATCCAGATTTGTTGGTTTAGTGGCTCCTTCTAAATTTATGGTTCTAAATATGTTATCATGATTTGATGAGGGATTATATCTCCTTCTCTTAAGTTCTCTCATTTTTGAATATTCATTTTCTATACAGTCATCTAAGACACACACTCACATACTTTTCCACCCGGGATGTGAGAAACAGCTGGAACAGATCATTCCATTGTATCCCCATTGTGTATTTTCCCAATTTCTAGACCGTCCAGGCCTCCATCTTCCATTTACTGCTCCACCTTGCAATGCAGCCCACCTGGGTGATGCAGGCCCCGGTGAAGGCTACGATGACGGCCACCACATTGACAGTGAGCTGGAACTGCAGGAATTTGGAGATGCTGTCATAAACATTGCGACCCCACATCACCGCCTTGACGATGCTGGAGAAATTGTCATCAGTCAGGATGATGTCAGAGGCCTCTTTCGCCACATCGGTGCCTGCTAAGCCCTGAGGATGACACGAAAGTAGAGGGTTGGTACAGTCTTCTTTTTGTGAGGGGCAAAAAAAACCCCCTCTCTCCTTTTCTCTTAAGGACTGTAATGATCCCAATAGTTGTGTGTTCTAATAGTATTTTCATTGATCTAATTCATCAATTTCTAATCCTATGCCAATTAAAACATATATGTTTCAGTGGTGGGTTGCTACCGGTTTGCCCCGGATCGGGCAAATTGGTAGCGTCGGCAGCGGAAGTCTCCGCCCACCCACCTGGACACTTCTGCGTTGTTCTGTTGTGCGAGCGTGCGAGCGTGCGAGCACGCCCACGAGCAAACCGGTAGCGATGGGCTTTGAAACCCACCCCTGATACGTTTATTTAGGTTTATTTATTGATTTGCTGTATGGTTGTAGACTGGAAATCTACATTATAACATAACAATATTCCTGAAAGCAATAAAGCCAGGAGAGAAATCATAACAGAATCAAACTTTATAAGCTAGCATGTTTATCAAAATTTATTATTTTCTTGACAGAGCTCAAACCCAGTACCTCTGAACAGTAATGGGGAGAAAATGGCAATGTTTCTGGAGATTTCACTAGACGGGTTCTTTAATTAAAACACTTGCAATCTCTGATTAGGAGCAGCCCAAGCATTGGCTAAGTCGGGGGAGAAATTAAGTCTGCACACCAGGTCAGGTATAAAGGGCAAATCAATAAAACATGTACAAGTGCCTTAACCTCCATCACTCAACACATGGGTAGGCATTCCTAATAAGTGATCTTGCCAATGTGAACTCCCTTTTATGAAGAGCAAGGACAGGATGAATACAATGTTTAGAGGCCAAAGTCTCTAGAGTCGTGGTAGGACGTTTGTGACTTGTTTTGTACATCTAAATCAAATATTGTCTGCTTAACTTCGGGCAGAGCTTTTTCTGGACCAAGATGAGTAGGGTATGGGTTGAGACTCTGCAGTGTGACGTATTATTGGATGTATACTCCTTCCATTTGAGAATGTAGCTAGGTTTGACTGGCCCTATAAAATATACCTGCTAGAGATTCCCCACGGGTGTTCCTGGGTATCCCTGATTCTTCTCCCCACTCACTAGTTGTTCCTTTTTGACATTCTTTTTCTCTCCTCTGTTCTCTCTCTACCAACATCACCTCTTCCTTAGGAGAAATAAGCACCAGCTCCTGATTTATTTACTGCATTTCTTTCCTTATGTGCTCTAATAAACACTGTAGGAGGAGAACCATGTTACTCTATGGTAGCCAAAAATTAGGAGTTTGGTAGCACTTTTCCAACTAAGAAATTTTATTAAAAAGCATAAGTTTTTGTGAACTATTTCATCAGAAGTGTGGAGTGGTTAAGCTGATGCAGCATTTAATTTGGGGTGATGCTTCCTTTCCTCCCTTGCTCCCCAACTTAAATTCTACATCAGTGTAGCTACTCCATTATTCTGGTGAAGTGAGCTATAGTTTACGAAAGCTGATTTTTTTTATAATGTGTTAGTTGAAAAAGATGCTACTAGAGTTAGACCCATACATTTAAAAAAAAGGGGGGGGAGATAAAACTGCATTGTATTCTACAAGGCTAAAGAAAGATAATTAACTAGCCAGCCAGGAGAACTTGAATAAGAAGAGAAACAGAACCTTTGATACAAATACATAGACATGCATACACACAAATTTGAATGCCTCAAGAACATGGAACCCAGTTCCGTGTTCTAGAGTAGCAACTCCAAAATGAGTCTGGGTGATTTACAATTTTAAAAGAATGCATAATATAAAAGAAAAACAAGAACATCTAGACAAAACCACACAAGTAACCAAAGAATGCCAGAGGTTTCACAAACTCTCTAATCCCAGGTCTGGGAAGAGAGTCAGGTAGTTAGAAATTTATAGAATATTTAAAGATGGGATCCACATGTATTTCTGGGGTTATGATGTTCCAAAGGGCAAGCACAACAATAGAGAAGGCATACATTTTAAAATGACAACATTTAACTGAAAGAACTGGAATACACCCACTCTGTCCAATTGTACCAGATAGGCAAGAAACTATCAGAGATAGCTGCTCCCTCAAATAACCAGGCCTTGTGCCATGAAGGGATTTATAGGTGATGTGCAGCACCTTGAATTGCACCTGGAAACCAGCTGGTAACCAATGCAGCTCCTTAAAGTAATGATGATACAAAGGTGTAATGTAGGCACCCAATTCTACTTGCACCACTGCATTTTGGACCAGCTGTGGCTCCAGGAAACCCATGTAGAGTTCATTGCAATAGTTAAATTGCAAGGTGACCAGGCATGAGTGACCATGAAGGATCTTCTGGTCAAAGAATAGCTACAACTCCAAGAGAACACCTCCCCACCTCAAGTTGTCCAATAGTCTTGGATGGGGAGGTATAACTCCAACCAAGACTAAAGATGAAATCAACTCAGCCTTAGCCACTCACTCTTGTCAGAGTTGAGTCTATTCTTCTCTATCCAGAGCTGAACAGCCTCCAGACATAGGGTGACTGACTACATTGGCAGCTTCAACTGCACTACTCAAGTTGAGATGTACAATTGGGTATCGACAGCATAGTGACGATACACTGTTATTGGTTAATGACTGAAATAGAGCTCTGTTCTATCCTAGTGATAATACTGAACCCCGAACTGACATATGGCTTCACCAATGGTTTCATGTAGATGTTAAAGAGAAGGGACAAGAGGGTTGAACCTTGAGGCACCCCATAGGTGAGAGCTGCAGGTAGGACTTCCTCTCTCTTAGCAGTAATTGGGAATGACTACTGAGGAAGGAAGTGAACAACCGCAGCACAGTGCCTCCCACTCCTAACCTGCACAGCCAGTCCAGAAGAATGCCATGGTTGATGGTATTAAAAGTGCTAAGAGATCAGCACTCACAGCATCTACAAGTATAGTCCCCTCCTAACATATCTACCCCTGCCCCTCACAGTTTCAATCATACTGCCTTCCCTCTAATCTCCGCCCCCAGTTCTCCATTCCCTTTGTTCCAGATTCATATACTTCTCACACCTGCCAACTCCCCTCACCCCACTCAAAACAAACTAAACATTAAAACCCACCCACCCCCACTACCAATGCAGCCAGCCTGCTCCTTCCAAACTGCCTTGATCTCCCACCAACTGCTCTTCTCCTGGTGCTCTGCAGCTACGAGGCATCTGATCCTCAAGGGGAATGTCTACAGTCCCTAGCCAGGCTGTATTGTAATTACAAAAGTTCTCTTATTTATCAATACCATACTTTTACAAAGTATGAGATACAAGCTTGTTTTGAAAGCTTTCAACAATCGCCAGGAAAACACTTCAAAAATGTTTTTCATAGTTCCCCACCTGAAATGTTTCCATGTCACCCTTTCTTCCTAATCAGATATGTTTTGTATTATAGAGTTGTGAATTCAGACAATTCTGCAAAGCCCATTGGCATTTTGGAGAATTTCTAGTCACTAAAGAAATCAGGACCAAATTAAATTGCACAAAAAAGTATGCAAGCTTTTGAATTTCCCAAAACATTTTTATTGGGCTAAGTGATATGAGAAGGAAGAGGTAGAGAAGAAGGAACTGCTTGGCAGCTACACAAATTCTCCTTCATCATTCATCTTATGATCTCCTCAGGGCTTAATATCCTGGAGCCTATTTGTCAAGTGAAAAGGTACAATTGTTCAGTGGACTGGAAAATAAAGTGTTGCATCAAACTATTTCACCTCCCTAAAGAACAATCACACAGCAAACTTCATAATATATACTTTAATATATGGCCTTAGGCATGAAAGCTTGCTGGGTGACTTTGGGCTAGTCACACTCCCTCAGCCCAAATCCACCATAGGGTTGTCATGGTATGGAAAATAGGAGGAGGAAGGATATTGTATGTATATTTGCCACCTTGATGTACTTATAAAGTAATAAAGGTGGGATTAATAAAAGTAATAAAAAGTTATTCCTGGCATTTTTACCAGGAATTTTTTTTCATGTACAAAACATACCTGAATCCTATTTAAAGAGGTTGTTCTAAAGCCCAGGAAAATAAACTAGGCTACAGGTATTGCTGGCCTTTGTCACAATATTTTCCACTGATAATTTCAATGCACATTTTTTAAAAATCCCCAATAAAAATAAACGTCTGCTAAAATTCCAATCTTGACCCCTTCTGAGATACCATCATCACCCCACTTTCATAAAAGGGGAAGAAATAGTGTCATTATTGTTGTTTTGGCATACCAGTCAGCGACCAGATGTTCAGAAGATTTCTATGTGTTTAGTGCTGATCTTGTCTAGGAGTGAGTTATAAGTATGCGTAAGTAATGCCGCAATTCGTTTGGAACTGGGCATATCCTCACTTGCTACAATCTTGTGGAAACGTGCAATTGGCTATTGGTTGTCCCTGTGGACTAGACTCCCAGGCTATTACCTAGGCCAATGCCTATGGCGGGACCCTTTTCATAGTCCCTGGGCCCATAATATCCATACAAAACTTTTGAAGATCGGGATTTCCCCCATTGAAGCTTTTATTTTAGGCCCTGATGCTGCCAAATCGTTGATTTTTCAACGGCTGGACGACATTGATAGACAATTAAATCTGGCAAATGGATCGGGATCATGCTAACAGTTTTCCCTTGGTATTGTTCCCTCGCCTCCCCCTCCCCCTTATCTCTCCGCGTTACACTCTATCAAACATAGGCACGAATGAAGGCACGATTTAATGTGATCCCCTCGAATGTCCTCGACAGTAGGCTCTCGGGGGGAGTAAAATTCATCTATTGTACATGTGATGGCTGATCCCCGGAATCTCTGTTCCACATTACATTCGTATGTCCCCACTACCAAGACATAAGATCAAGATTCATTTCTCCTATTTTCCAGAGATTCCCTGGTTCACCTGATCTGTTCAGCCTTTATTTCCTACTCCAGGACACAGACCCCAATATAACTCCAAAGGTGGCAAAAAATTTTGCTGCAGTCGTGGCTGAAAAAAAACGGGGGAAGAGACGGGTAACCCCTACGGCAGAGGATCACTAGTATTGACAGTACAGATTGTATCTGAGGCAGTAGATGGTGTACTGTCACATGATCTATCTATATTTGTAAAATATACTCCCCTTCTATGTGTATTTTAATTTGGTCTCTGACCGCAATAAAAAAAAGCTTACTTACTAGTATATAATAACAAAAAAATAAGTCCTGGAATAATGTAATGCCTCCCAATGCCCATTTCTCTGACACTTCTCAGTCAGCAGGCTTTTTGGAATCTTAAAACAAACAAACAAAAATGTTTGTACCTTTTTTTGGCTTAGAGATTTCAATCAGGATTCCTAGAATGTACATGATGGTGTCACAGCATCAATGTATAGTCAATCATGCCATGATATCATAAAGACAAATCAGAATGAGGAATCAAGGTGACCAGATGTTGATGTTTTGTTCTTGTATACAAATGAGGCAACTGTTTTCAACCTAACCCTAACTGAAGCTACCCTAAAGCATTGTTAGCATAGACTGCTAGTATGCAATATACACAGTGATGGGATTCAGCCAGTTCGTACCACTTCAGGAGAACCGGTTAACTTTCTGAGCAGTATGGCAAACTGGTTGTTGGAAGAAAGAAGTCATGCTCATTTCCCATTGAATTGGTTCAATTGATAACATATTCTGACTTAAAAAAACACACACCAAAGTTCTTCAGCTAGTTGAAATAAACCTTTAGGGTTTTAAGCTAGATTTCTAAGTAATTTGCAAAGGATCCAGTTTGAAGTAGAAATCCCACGCAAGAAAAGAAACATCTAACCAGCACTTGTTCTGTTTATTCTTTTGACTTCCTGTATGAATATCTGGCACAAAGAATAAGAAATTCTGAAATGCTTGTTATCAGCTCGCTTACTTGCCAGAGAAAGGAGGGAGCAAAGGAGGGAGCAGAGATGGAAATGACATCATTGCTCTTGATCTGAAAAAACAACAACCACAGAGCTACACTTTCCAATATTTCCTCCCTCATATTGCAGACTGGTGACTGCTTATCCAGAATGGTATTGATGGTCAGTAGGAATGGGCTAGCTGGTGCTTATTGAGCTTGTAGTCATTAATACTTCTTTAAAAGTTCCAGCACCAAGTATTTGATTGACATTTAAATTAGCTAATGGTTTCCCATGGCTGAGCCCCTTAAATTGGATGTAATCCATTTAATTCATAACTTTGGCATCAATGCTGATACAGAGTAGCAGGCTACTTTGGATCTGGGCCCTCTCTTTTCAGTTCAAGGTCACCTGCTCATCTGCAAGGTCAAATCCTGAAAAAAAAAACCTTGCAAATCTGCAGAAATGGCTTATACACACAGCATTAACTGATGACTATGATGTCTCCCTGGACCCTTCCTCCCCACCAGGTCCCTCATGCAATTTGTATTCATTTCCACGGAAAATGGCAATAAGCAGATAATCATACATACAGCACTTGCTTGCTTTTTAAAAAGGCAGACTGCCTGTACCAAGCATAGGGGAAAGAAAGGACTGATGGCGGCTGGGCCAGCATTGAGTTAACTAGTACGTACATCTGTCATTGCAGCTGCGACGCCAGGAGGATGCTGGGCTCATCCCACAGATGAAGGACATGCTGTGAGCTCTCTTTTTATATTATGTTTGTCTTCACCCTAGTTCCCTGTGAAGTGGATGTCCCTGTGGACACAGGGGAGGGAATTCAGTTCAACTCCTCTTACCATGGCAAAGCCCACATCGGCCTTCTTGAGCGCGGGTCCATCGTTCGTTCCATCCCCAGTGACAGCGACTACCTGGCGCTGGTCCCCAATAGTGCTGTCAATGATGCCTTGAAGGTCAAGAATGTGAGTTAGCTAGTGGCGAGTGGGCTACGATCCAAATACATCCCAGAGCTGTTTGCATCGTTAGGCGGACATGCTTTCAGAGAAATTCTGGGCTGCATATCTGGAGTTTGATTTGGAACAGGAAATCAATCCAAATCCCGGGAATTCTAGTTCCCACCACCCCGTTTTGACTGAGGACGAAGAGATTGGCGGGATCTTACCTTTCACCAGGGTATGCTTATCAGTAGGTGATGATCGAGCCAGAACTCGCAGCTTTGGCCAGATTTTATCAAGACGTTCTTGTTCTATCTATAAACATAGAGAAGTAGTATGTGTAGTACAAGAGAACATAGGAAATTGGCTTAGATCATTTCTGCACCATCAATTTATAGCATCTTCTGGAGTCATCCAACCATCATTGGCCAGAATAATGCACTCAGACTTTATATCACTTCTAGGATGACTGGATGATACTCAGGAGGTGCTATAAGTCCTTAGTGTGGAAATTCTGAGTCTGGCCATTCATCATTTCTAGCTTTCAATTGTCTCAGCTGATAGGTGGTACAGGGATAGCAATAGGTATAGATAGATAGATAGATAGATAGATAGATAGATAGATAGATAGATAAAGAAAAAAAAAAGAGAGAGAAGGGCATCAGCACAAACTTCATATGGAAAAAATCTTAGGTCCATTCAGAGACTGTGGAGGGCGGGGGAAGATCTATTGCCAAAAACTAGGATTTTCTGCATACAAATTTTGTGCTATAGCCTTTCTCCAAAACAGTGCTGGGACAGTTTTTCCCAAGTCTGCCACTCATCGTCATCTTTTGCTAATTGCAATATCAAATGCTTGGGCCATCAAAGGTAAGAAAAGTGACATCCTTTCTCCTATGCTGTTGAATGAGCTAGGTAGTCTAGAAATAGCTTGGCAAACAGTAAAAAGGGGAAGAGCTTTTCCCTCTGGTATGAGAACTTTTTGTTTGTGGGGATTTTTTTTTTTTAAAAAGGTGAAGGGTGTTTAGAATCTCCCTAATGATTGGAGTTCATGAAAAACTGAGATTTGTTCAAATTGAAGGTCTCTTGTTTAAAGGGGGATCCTCTTCCTGATCTCCAAATGAATTTCCATTTGAGCAAGCCCTTTGAGGAGGAAAGCTGCTATTTCAGAACGTACCTCCCTGACTTTGGAATTGCAGGAATAGCACGTTTCCAAAAACTTAAAACAGCTTCTTTGATACCTCTCCCTTCTCATTGCGGATCCTTCGGTTGAAGTCCTTTCCCTCTAGACACAAGAAGTCCTCCCCTGGTTGGATGATGCCACATTTGGCAGCAATGGCCCGAGCTGTGTTGATGTTGTCTCCTGTCACCATACGGACAGTGATGCCAGCACGCTGGCACTTGTGGATGGCCTCTGGCACCTGGAAAATGAACACACGGTATAGCCAATTAAAGGCATTGATTGCTTATAACATAACACGCTTCTTGATTTTCTACCTCAGTATTGAATCTGATATCGAGACTGGGAATCTCAGCTTTATATTTCCAAAACATAATCAGATTTCCTTGCTGGATTCATAACCAAAGTCATCAGCTAATCACTATTTCACCTCTAAAGCATCTAGCAAATTTGGGGAAAGTAGAAGCCAGGGAAAAAACCCCGAATCATAACCCCAGTCTTTTTCTTTAAAATAGAAGTGGCCACCTTCAGCATATTTTTGTTTTTCTCATTCAGGCTGCTAAGATATATCTACCCATATATCCTGATATTGTGTCACAGTCACAATGCTCAACTAAAATAGATGGTTAATGTCAGGAGGACACAATCCTGCATAGGAGACATATTATTCATCTTAAAAGCCTTCTGCTAAAGCCAGATTTGTTGAAATTCATTGTCATTAGACTGAGGATGAAAACAATCTATCTATATATGTATATAGTGAGAGAAAACTATTCATTGACTTCACTCTATTTAATCATGTTCCCCATCTACGATGCAAAGCTCTATCTTATTTTCGCACAAAATAACGAAAATGCTTCCTTGCACAGGATAATTAAAATGTATGTCTTAGTACTTTCTTCTCTGCACTAACATCCAAATACTTTATCATGTAAAGTGCTTCATGTCTTTTAAAATGTTGAAGCAATTATACTGATTTTACGAGTGCTAGCAAAAGGGGGAGAGCTGTTATTTAGCACAGAAATCCCAACAGATCTGACCAATGGAAATCTCCTTTAGCAACTTCCCAAGATTCTCTCTGGCCTCTAAAAATGTATTAAGCTTTTCCAAACTTGTCTTTGTAGCCAAAGGATTAAAAACATGATTCCCCCTGCGTGATGGCGCAGTGGTTAGAATGCAATATTGCAGGCTAATTCTGCCGACCTGCTAGGAATTCAATTCTGACCCGCTTGAGGTTGACTCAGCCTTCCATTTTTCCAAGGTCAGTAAAATGAGGACCTAGGCTGTTGGGGAAAATATGCTGACTCTGTAAATCGCTTAGAAAGCACTATGAAGTGGTATATAAGTCTAACTGCTGTTGCTATTGCTATTTTTCTTAAATGAAAAGGAAACTATTGTTATGAAACTTAATTCTGGGCTATTTCTAGACAACTCTGACTTTATCTGTATTACAGAATTGAAGCAGCTCTGCTTGTTTGGCAAAATCCTCTTAATATCCAAATCCACATCCTGTCTGCTAGGCCATAGTGGCTGTGGAATGCAGAATAACATAATAACAGAGTTGGAAGATGCTTTGGAGGTCTTGTAGTCCAACTCTGTGCTCAAGCAGGAGACCCTATTCCCATCCCTATACCACCTCAATTTGTTTTTACTAGCCAACAGAACCTATAGCCCTGTTCTGTTTCAGCTTTGATCAGCCATTGGGAAGAAATGGGAGATTGGAAACTTAAGAATTGATTTTCCCCTGACTCACAAAACAAAACCCAAAACCCCAAAAACAAAACAAAGGTTTGTTCAGAGAAAATCCACCTCTATCCAGCCATCACCTCTGGTCAACCCTTAAGAGTTGATTTCCCCTAACTCACAAAACAAAATAAAACAAAAAACACAAAACACAGGTTTGTTCAGAGAAAATCCACCTCTATCCAGCCATTACCTCTGGTCGCACAGGATCCTCAATCCCCACCACAGCAATGCAGGTCAAATCTATCACAATATCATTCTCATTGTCCCAGTCAGGCTCCTTCCCTGCTGGAAAGTCACGGTAGGCTATGCAGATAGTTCGCAGCCCATCGCAGGCCATGGGCTCGATCACTTTCTTTACCATTTCATCTCGGTCCCTGGGCCGGAAGACGCGAAGCTCTCCATTGCTATTTAGAATGTTTGTGCACCTGTAAGAGGGACGAACACACCCACACGCACACACATATACATACGTGTACCAAAAGGAGTTTATACAGAATCCTTCCTGCTTAGGTACCAGTTCTGCCATAAAAGGTATGCAATGACTCATTTATCCAGGATGTTTATTAAAGAAAGCAACTTTTCAAAATTGGCTCATTTTGATAAAGGGGAAAAAAATGTTGCTCCTTTGAGCCTTTATTGATTCCTGGCGACTGCCTGGAATAGTCCCTGCAGTTATTTGGGGCAAGATTTATGGTTTGTCCTTGCTCCTTTCCTAGGACTCAGAAAGAGTGACTGGCCCAAGGTCACCCAGCTGCCTTTGTGTCTAAGGTAGGAGTAGAACTCAAAGTCTCCCGGTTTCTAGTGTGAGGCCTTATCAAATTTACTCCTTGATAAAGAAGCCTCTGCAAAAGGCTATAATGGTAGCTAAAGGCAGGTCAAAGGAAATGAAATCTCATGTTCATGGGAGTGGAAGAATGTTTCATAAGATAGATGCCACAACAGAGAAGCCACATCTGTGGACTCCATCAAATGTAGGTCCCTAGATGATGGTATGCGCAGCATGCCTTCCTTCTCTGGTAAATCTAATGGGGCAGGCAGATTTCACTGGGGAGAGGTGGTCCCTCAGATAACCTGGTTCCATGCCATGAAAAGCTTTATAGGTCAAAAACGGAACCTTGAGCTGGACTCAAAAGCAAACTGGCAACAAAATGCAGCTCTCAGAACAAAGGTGTAACATGCACTGTTCTAGGCGTGCACTTAACCACATTATTAACTACAGCTGTAAGTGTTGAAGAGAGGGATGGAACTTATTTATAAGTTCCTGCTTCTCCTTGCTTCTTGCCTGATTTTTTTTTGTTTTGTTGTCCCCCACAACTGGCCATTTTATTCATTGTTGATTGTCTCCACTGCAAATGTATCCTCAAATGAGGTACATAGCCCTTGGTCTTAGCTTATCACCATATTGCTCATATTTATTTGAGCTTCTTTAGCCCGCTTCTCCATCTAAAATAAATTCTTTGTTTGGATTCCAATAGCATGCAGATAATAATGCTCACTTTTTTCACAGTTGGAAGAATTCCTGGAATATTGTATGGGAATGTTTCAAGGTTAACATAGGGAGCTAAGTGCACTTATATTGACCACGCCAGGACAAGTTTCACAATATGAGATAGTCTTGCCCACTTTAAGATGGTAGCCTTTGCCTGTATGAAGGTCCCTTTCACCATTCATAACACAGAGCAGACTCACTTTTTGAGGACAATTTCGGAAGCGCCTTTGCTGAAGAGGCGATAGCCGCCATCAGGCATGCAAACGACGGTGCTCATAGATTTTCGGACAGAATTGAAGGTGTAAACCTTGTAGAGCTTCTCCTCTGGGATGTGCTCACGGACAGGCTGGTAGTCACGTCGCAGATCAACCACAAAGCCCAGCAGTGAACATTCGGTCTTATTGCCCACCTGGCGTGGGAGACCCCCTTCTTTTTCTGGAGGCTGAAGGAAATGGAAGGTCAGAAACGAGAGACACCCAGTTCAGTTCTTCTAACTTCATCACTTCTCTCTGCCAAATAGTGTGTGCATGATGGAATGGGTGGTGGTGGATCGGTTGAATCAAATTCTTGGCTGCCAGAATTCAGGTTTGTAAATAGGCTTTGAATTTAAGGCATATCTATGCTATAGAAAAAATTGATTTAATAATTGTTTTTGGAAGTCTAAAGGTAAAGGTTCCCCTTGCACATATGTGCTAGTCGTTCCCGACTCTAGGGGGTGGTGCTCATCTCCGTTTCAAAGCCGAAGAGCCAGCGCTGTCCAAAGACGTCTCTGTGGTCATGTGGCCAGCATGACTAAATGCCAAAGGCGCATGGAACGCTGTTACCTTCCCATCAAAGGAGGTCCCTATTTTTCTACTTGCATTTTTGACGTGCTTTCAAACTGCTAGGTTGGCAGAAGCTGGGACAAGTAGCGGGAGCTCACCCCATTACGTGGCACTAGGGATTCGAACTGCTGAACTGCCGACCTTTCGATCGACAAGCTCAGTGTGTTCTTACCCAGGTGTCAAGCTTCAAACGGTGTTTTTTGCAACAGCACCAGGATTTTTAAAGAAAGAACAAGCAGTTAAAATGGCAATTTGATAGCCTATCAAGGTAAGTATTTGGAATGTGATTTTGGAGAATTACCCTTTCTGAAGGGATTAAAAAAAACAGTATCAGGAACTCTCCCTCTAGTCTAGACCCTAGAGATTGATCCCCAGATGTTTCTGGTTTACAATTTCAGCCGCTTCTGCCAAATACCATGAGTCATAAGGGATGATGAAAGTTTTAGTTCAGCAACATCTGGAGGATCAGAGATTTATCACTCCGCTCTAGTCACTTTTCTCCAAGTTGTGCTGACTTCCTCCACTGGAGTTTGGTTGGATCAGAAGGAAATTGGGTAACAATCTGCAGGCGGTAAGTTCCAGAACTAAAATAATTTTAGCACCGCTCATCCTTATGCCTTCAAAAATGAAATCTTTTCTATATGTGCCCCAAGACTGGGAAAGGCTTCCATTCAGCTGCATCCCAAGTAGTATAACTCCACAGTTAGCGGTCATAGGTTCTCCTCCTTAAATAGCAATAACCTTTCTGTGAGTGCTGCTGAATGGCAGCCTGATCCAGTAGCTCTCACAACTGATCTGATCGTCAACTGACGCTCATAAGAGCCTGCAAAGGAAATGAAAACAATGGTTAAGCTTACTTCTCTAGGGCAAAATGGGATTTGATGTGGTGGTTTAGTCTCTCTTCTTCTAACGTCTGAACCAGAAATGCAGGTGTGGTGACAGACTGGGCACATCTCTGAATCCCACCAGATGCCACTCCTGAGTGGTGGGGATGCCAACTCTGTTAAATCTTACTGGATGGTAATCCAAAGCATGCAGTTCAGCTAATAATCAGGCTCTGTGCCATGAAAGGCTTTATAAGTAACAGTCAGACCTGAAAGTCCATGTTATGTTACATAGGCATAGCAAGGTGCACCCATAACTTCTTGCATGGCTGTATTTGGATAGGTGGTGAGGAGTTTTCAAGGGCAGCCCCATGGAGTCCCCACTTGGACTAGACAAGAGGTGTCCAAGGTGTGGCTGACTGCAAATAGGACTTCCCAATGGAGAAATGGGGGGCTGGGGCAATTGGCACACAAGATAGATTTGTGCAAAGGCTGCGCCACCTGCTCTACAAGCAGGAGCTGAGAATCTAGAAGGACCCCCCCAACCTCAACGGGGCACCGTTCTGCGGTGGTTCTCCTCCTACCTCTCTGACCGGTCGCAATCTGTGTTGACAGGGGGGCAGCGGTCGACCCCGAGGCACCTTGCTTGTGGGGTGCCACAAGGGTCGGTCCTCTCGCCCCTTCTGTTCACATTTATGTAAAGCCGCTGGATGAGATCATCCGTGGCTTCGGGGTGGAGTTCCATCAGTACGCTGATGACACCCAGCTGTACATCTCCACCCCAGGCCACCCCAACGTTGTCCTTGAAGTGATGTCCCAGTGCCTGGAGGCCGTGCGGGCCTGGATGGGGAGAAACAGGTTTCGACTCAACCCCTCCAAGACCGAATGGCTGTGGCTTCCGGTGTCCCGATATAGCCAGCTGACGCCAGGGGGAGAGCCTTCTCTGTGGTGGTGCCCACCCTCTGGAACAACCTCCCCCCAGAGATACGTACAATAACAGACCTCCGGATTTTTCGTCGGGCTCTGAAAACCCATTTGTTTCAACTAGCTGGGCTGGCTTGAGTTAAATTTTAAATTGATTTTAAATTGGGTTGTTTTAATTTACGGCCAAAATATTTAATTATTTTAAACTGCTTTTAAATTTTGTATGTTCTGTTTTTTACTTTGGCTGTTCACTGCCCTGAGTCCTACTTGGAGTAGGGCGGTATAGAAATAGGAACAAACAAACAAATAAATAAATAAATAAACCTGTATTTTAGTTCTACCTGGGGGAGGACCACACCACCCAGAACTAAAGACAATAAATCTTCAGATCCATTTTGCATGAATTCAGCTCTCTTTTCCTAAATGGCCAGTCTGATTTTCTCCATGTTTTTGGATGGTTGTAGGCAGGGGTGAAATCCAGAAGGTTCTGGAGAACCAGTGGTGGAAATTTTGAGTAGTTTGGAGAACCGGCAAATGCCACCTCTGGCTGGCCCCAGAGTGGGGTGGGAATGGAGATTTTGCAATATCCTTCCCCCCGGAGTGGGGAGGGAATGGGGATTTTGCAGTATCCTTCTCCTGGAGTGAGGTGGGAATGGAGATTTTGCAGTATCCTTCCCCTGCCACGCCCACCAAGCCATGCCCACAGAACCGGTAGTAAAAGAATTTGGATTTCACCACTGGTTGTAGGGACATTCAAGAAACCTGCCCTCTTCTGCAAGTTCCCTGAGATTCTACCTGTTTTCCTACTTCCATTCAAAATATTAACTAGAGATCATTTTTCTCCATCTGGACTTTTCTCCAGAAACTTAGAGCACAGCTTGTTAGCATTCCAGCTGTTGGGGATTTTAGCTCTTCTTCATGTCTGCAATTTTTTATTTACTGCTAATTGTTCCCAACTTAAATGTCATTTCAAGTCAAAGTACAGAGGTAGTGTTACACCAGTGTTAAATGTTAGTCTTAGCCCTTCCCCATATCGCTCTTATTTTTGAACATCTTTAACCTGCTTATCATGGAGATAATAATATTTATTTATTTCACAGGGAGCTACATTTCCCAAGACTGCAGCCAACATAGGTAAAGGTGATGGGAGCTATAGTTCAACAGTTTCCTGGGGACCACAGATTCCCTACTTGCATAATAGTACTGCATTTATGGACCAATGTAGGCTTAGGAAGGAGTGTTTCCAAAAAGGGGCTACTACTCACTAGTATCTTGGTGGTATAGGCACTGTTGATAGCAATGGCATGCACCAGCAGATCCAGTATCTTGGATGTCAGGCTACTGGGCTCAGGCGTCTCCTTGTAGTGAGTGTCACCCAGGTAGGACTGCACAACTGTCATGCGATTGGTTGTGAGGGTCCCTGTCTTGTCTGAGCAGATGGCCGTGGCATTGCCCATGGTCTCACAGGCATCCAAATGCCGGACCAGGTTGTTGTCTTTCATCATTTTCTATAGTCAGGAAAAGAGATTAAAATTGTACATATTTTTTTCCAAAGGAGAAGAGTGAGCAAATTAGAACCCACCATCCCACCCATTTGCATTCCTACAGTGTTCCAAGAATAGACAAGGGCAAATTTTGAGTCCTTGTTTTGGGGGGAATTGAGTCCCCCCTTGTTTTGGGGGGAATTGGAGGATTTAAAGGACAAAATTCCAGCTGCCTAGTGTATCCAGAACACTCCTTGAAAATCTTGATCCTCTCCAAGTGCCAAAATATACATTTGTATTTTTATGAAACCACATCATGCTGTGAAGTTATATTCAGTTGGTAAACAACTCTTCTAAGGAGCTTGACCTCTATAGATGTCATACGCTAAATAAATAAAAATAAAAATAAAATTCCTCTAAGATCTTTTTCACAGCCCATTCTGTATCTGAATGACTGATTATTGTTTCCTACCTAAAGAATTTTGCATTGGTTCTGTTACACTTCATGCTGTTACTTTTATTTCTATAACTTATCATAATACTTTTGTTTTATATGAATATTATTTCTGCTCTTCTAATTAATGGGCATCCCATACACTGTTGTTTCCTTTGCACATTTGAAAAGCATCCCTTTAGCCTTTCCATCCCACTTATTAATCCAAAAATTAAATATCATAAGATATAGGAATGGTACCTTCCTCCAGTTGGATGAGAAACATTAGAGAGCTAACCATTAATGACAATCTACCTAATTGTCCTATTTCACTGATGCTTAAAGTAGCTTGCTGATCAGTGTATCATGGATACTTCTTCTAAAGGTGGTATTCCTATAATTTATTAAGGAAGTTACTGATTTAAAAAATGAATTACCTTAATCGGTAATCTGGTAAAAATAGGTCTTGACAAATGCATGCTGATTCCTAATAATGGCTGCATAATTTTCAAGGTGTTTGATGATGATCTCCCTTGTGATCTAGTCCACAATCTTCTCAGTCATTCCTGTTAGGCTAACTTCCACCAGAGCTTCAAAGGGAGATGGCCATCAGAGAGCATTTATGGGAGTAGATGACACAAGAGCATAGCCAAGGATCTAGCCATTTATTTTAGTGAAAACCAGTGAAGGCACTAAGGATATAATGCTCACCTTGACAGAGTAGGCTAAAGAGATCGTGACAGCCAATGGCAAGCCTTCAGGTACAGCCACCACCAGGACAGTGACCCCAATAATAAAGAACTTGACAAAGTATTGCACGTAAACAGGAGTGCACTCGCCCATCCACGTCTTCCCATCAATAACAAAGGTTTGAATGATGAAATACAGGACGAGGATGATGACTGTGATAGCTGACATCACCAGCCCTAGCAGGATTGGAGAAAATACAAAGAAGAAGCAGAAGAGAGACAGTCAGATGCGACAGCAAGACCTGAATCTGTGAAATCGCACACCCTGCAAATAAGATTGTGTCTTGAGAACATTTTGTATTAAAAGCCAGAATGTGAGAAGAAAAGTCCCCAAAGGGCTTCTTGGCACCAGGCCCAGTCAATTCCACAAATTTCCATTCTTAAAATGAGAACTGATGGGACCTGTTGCTGTCTATGCAGCCTTCTCCAGGCTGATGGCCTCGGGATTATATCTCTTTTCAGCAATATATATCTCTAGAATGGGAGTGAGAGCTGTTAAAGGAGTTCAAAACATCTGTTGGGCAATCAATTGAGGGAGGCTGGTCAAGGAAACAAAACAGGTACCTGGAGAAAAGAAGAGCAATCTCACTCCCTTTCTACTATATTTGTAATGTGAACCTAAGGGAGTACTGGAGATTCATGGTAACGTTATAATAATGTCTCTTTTTCCATCTCACAGAGATGGGAAATTCAGCTTCTCAGCAGCATCTGCCCGGCACCTCGGCAAGGTTGATTCCACCAAAGGACCAGCTTTTAAGGGTCACCCCCTCCATACTACAGGTAACAGATCCATTTAAGAATAGATGGTTTTTAATACCATAAGTAATGGAAAACTGGGTGCAAGGCCTTTGCAGATCGAAAGTTCCAATTTATTTGGCAGCAAATGATCTACCAGATGTAGAATACTGTATGTATTTATACACTCCATCCTCCTGAGTGCAAAGAGTTAGCTTTAATAAGCAGTTTATTAATTGATTAGTCTTACAGTCATATCAAATGAAACAAAATAAAGTAGGATAAAATAATAAACAAAAAATAGATTAAATGCAGTAATAAAACAGATATGTAGTATCAGCATTGAAATAAATTCATCACCTTTACATGATATCCCAATTTGTTTGATATTACAGTTTCTTAGCTGAGCTGCCTTAACTATAACTTCGCAGTTCTGCCTTTCATTTCACTAAAAGCATCCCTGTAGCTTCATTTCACTAAAAGCATCCCTGTAGCTTCATGTACTGTATACTTATCTCAGAAGGCAGAGAGAAGGATGAATTCGGCTTCCCATGACCCTGAGTGTGGTTTCAGTGCCAGGGTTAGTTCATTTTCCCTCTAGAACTGTTAAAACTGGACTAGAACATTGACAAAGAGTAACAATGGATAAATAATGAATATGGAATCAATGAAAAGACAAATCCTTGCCTGCACCACTGACCTTCTCTCAGCCAAGGATATTATTCATTCGTTTATTAGCAACGGTGCATCCAAGCTCACTTCCCTTCCCAAAGGGAAGTGTCCACCGTTACTACAATGCATCTGCCACCCTCACGGCCCCCGTACCTGCTTTCCCAATTTGAACGGCCAGTTTGGTGAGCTTCCCTTGCAAGACAGATTTCTCTTTTTTGGGCACACTGGCTTTCTTCTTCTCCCGTTCTTCCATCTCACCACCCTCGGCACTTTTCAGGGGTTGCATCTCCATGGCAACTGCCCCATCCTGTTTTTTGGCTGCAGAGAGAAAGGAGCAAATATGGTTTCACCCAGAATTGCTGACTCTTTATTATAATTCTGCTACTATGCTTGCCCGTTTGTTTGTGCGTGCATGTGTGTGCATTTTACTTTTCTTAATCCAGTTGTTTATAAACAACATCCTGGTATGCTACAAAAGATAAGGCAGATAAAGTGTATTGATCTCCATAAAAAAAGTAATTTATTGCCTGTAACTGAAATCATGTTTGGAAGTAATCCACTATGATGTTCAGTTTTGGGTGAGCAAGATATCTGAAGCCAGACATAGCGGTTTATAAACCACAAGTTATGGTTTAAAGTGAAATATAAATCCAACCAATTGTAGTTCAGTGAACAAAGTACTTTTTAAAAAATCTTAGGTCTTGGCAAGAGGTTTGAAGGCCTAAAAGCAACACATAATAAGTTGCCCTTCTTTTTGCAATTTTGCAACTGTTGCCATAATCAAAATGGATATATTGGGTAAAACAGAACATTTGCCCAATGTTAGCTAAGGCTGTTGTCGTTTTTCAAAATCACTTTTTACCACAAGTTGCATGATTCATTCCTGGAATTTTATAAAGCGTGTTCCCAGGCAACATCATAAATCATTATAATAGTCCTGTGTTTTTCTATTCTGTATTTCTGTTCTGAATGTAACAACTTGTTTAAGGGAAATGGTGTTGTTGTAAAATATATTTTGATTGCTAATATTAAGAGTGACCTGGATTTATACACTACAAATGAGTTATGACTTTGTTTGGCTGTCACTTATATAATATATATATATAACCTGTGGACTAAGTCACTATGACTTATTTAACCATCAGTAATTAAATCATTGCTTATCGTCTAAGCTTTCACACGTACATCCATGCACACGAGTTATCTAAACAAAAGTGCCATCATTTTTATGATTCTCAGTCATCCAGATTATGGTTGTCCTAAAGGTGCTTTTTCAAGAGACAACTGGACTTTGTTTTTCCTTGAAAACGTTTTGCTTCTCATCCAAGAAGCTTCTTCAGTTCTGACTTCAGTCAGAACTGAAGAAGTTTCTTGGATGAGAAACAAAATGTCTTCAAGGAAAAACAAAGAAAGTCCAGTTACCTCTTGAAAAAGCACCTTTGGGACATTATTCCCATGCATTCTTTTCATGGAAGTTCTTCCAATGTATAAAACACATCTTCATAACCAACTTAAAAGGTAAAGGTAAAGGTTCCCCTTGCATATATGTACTAGTCATTCACGACTCTAGGGGGCAATGCTCATCTCCGTTTTCAGCCAGCGCTGTCTGAAGACGTCTCCGTGGTCATGTGGCTGGCATGACTAAATGCCAAAGGTGCACAGAACGCTGTTACCTTCCCACCAAAGGTGGTCCCTATTTTTCTACTTGCATTTTTTGTGTGCTTTCGAACTGCTAGGTTGGCAGAAGCTGGGACAAGTAACGGGAGCTCACCCCATTATGCGGCACTAGGTATTTGAACCACTGAACTGCCGACCTTTCGATTGACAAGCTCAGCATCTTAGCCACTGAGCCACCGCATCTTTTTTATAACCAACGTAGCCTGTTTTAATTGCAATGAATTTCCCAGTGAGCTCTAGAAATGTAAGTTCCAAAAAGAGAAAGATTTTCAACAAACAAGCTTATAGAAAAGCTATTCAGCTGCTATGGATGAACAAAACTTATTTTCATGACAGGTCCAGAAATTTTGCATCTCAGGTGGGACATACTGTTCTCTGATTCATTCAATGCATATTGAACCTAGAGAAATACAATATACTGTATCCATTGAAGAAGACACTCATCTCTTTTAAGGCTGACTAGCCATTACTTTCCGATGCTTTAACAGGAGTTTTGCTAACACTGTCTTTTGCACAAGATGCTTATTTTTCTAAACAGTCATATTGCATTTTATTCTTCCTTGGAAAGAAGCTCATTTGACAGGCCTACTGCCAAAAAGGTTCAATGTTCAAAAAGTTCACCATTCAGTTCAAAGTCCAGCAATACAGAAATCTAGTATAGTATCTTAGTACCATGTATCTCATTTTCCTTTTCTGGTAATATTACAGAGAATGTTGATTAATCAAAGCAACTCTGATATTGTCTGGCAGATGGAACCATGTTTCTTTTAGCTTAGAAACGAAGAGAAAAATAGAATCTGAGTAAAACATATTTGCATGCCTTTAGTACTAGGTTGTAAACTGGTAGAAAATCCAGGATTAGGTGAGGTCATAGTCTCCGTTTAAACTCTGTATGTTAGCTCAAGGTGGGAATGTGGTCATCCAGATGTTGAAATGCAGCCTTTATCAGCTATGGTGACCATAGCCAGTGGCTGTAAAGAATGGAATGTGCTGAGGTCTTATCTACCAGTCTAACCTAAATACAGTATCCAACAGACAATTTCCACTTAAAAACCTCAACATCCACCATGTTTCTTTCTTTTTTAAAAATTTTCTGTTCTTTTCTTAACCAGAAGTGTTTTATTTAAATCTGAAGACTAAATTCACAGTCATTCAAATATCAATTGCTACTATACCCTAGAATCCTAGGGTTCAACAGCACCTCTAAAGATGTAATTCAAACATCTGAGGCTAACTATATATTATGACCCTAAATTCAGCTAGTTTGCTGTATTTTAGTTAGTCCTAGTACCGGATGATTGACATGTTCCTGGAATAGCTAAAAGACTGGTCAAAATGACACATATTTATTCCTATCGTGACTGGGAGATGAACTGAACTTGATAGCACTTAATTAACTAAGTGGGTTGTAGAGGTTCTCCGAGTTTCATTTTTCATGTGCAGACTTTTATAAACCATCTAGCTAATATCTTCTGCACTATGATCTTGGAGAAATAGAGTTTGTTGTGGAATATATGGTTGCTTAATAGTCCATGAAACATTTGCAAATTTAAAAAATAGGAAATATAAACAAAATAAATAAATAGACAAGCTTTGACCTCAGATCATCAGATCTGGGCTTGTTACTGTTGGAAAAACAAGTTGTTAAAAAGAATGCATTGGATCTTATGGTATAACCGAAAAAATATTGACCTAGACTATCAAGATCTGGAGAATGTTATGTCTTTCTGATATAGCTGGCATTCCAACTAAATGTAGGCACTCAAGAGATATGATGGGGAAACATTTACCTTTGTTTTGATTATTCTCCACTGCCCCATCCTGCTGCTTCCCTACAACAGAAAAAGGGAACGACAAACACAGGACGCTTGAGAACAGACAACACAGCACCAGTGCAACATGCACGCACTCACGCACTCACACACACAAACACACATACGTACTATGGAGAGCATGGATTGTGATAAAGCACCTCCTGATATGCTCTGTAGGGTGTAGTTAGTCTTTTCCAATCTGATCCCCACCAATTATATTGGTCTGCAGCTTCCATTATTGTAAACCAACAGGCAATGGCTGGTTGGATATGGCAGGGGTTGTAGTTTTGTAGTCCCACATTTGGAGAACACATGGCTGAGGATCATTAATGCAGGCGCAAGCAAAATACAGCTGTAGTTAGAAGAAACGAGCCTAATTTGGTGGGTTTAATCTACCGCTATATTGGAATCAATTGTATGTATTGAAAAGAGGGGGGGATAGTTTTAAGTTCCTGTAAAAAAAAGGAAAAGGATGGAATCTCGTCCAATTTCAAGGATAAGATGCTCAAACAGGCTAAGTGAAAATATAGTATGGGATCTGCAGAACTGGGAGAAATGTAAATATAGCAACGAGCATAGAGAAATCTATTAGTGTTTAAAGTGGAATGTATTAAAAAAAGGAAACACCTTTTCTACCAAAGAACATTCTCCTTAAAGGAACTAAACCCAACAAGGTTGTCCCAGCATGACTTTTAAAAAGATAATAGAAATCTTCTTCATAAATCACAACTGACCATGTGATGATTTTGGTTGATGCTAGTAGTGACAGCATCACTTCTTGTGGATGCTTCAGGCAAAACATCTTATTGTCTCCATCTCTCTGCCTTGTTGCCTCCCTCTCTTGTTTGACCTCTTTTTGCCCGGAACAAGAGAAGGCTTCATCCTTAATACACTTATTGGCTTCCTGCTCTTAAGGTACCAGATGTTCTACTTTCTAAAAAATGGTTGTTTATTGGAATGGATTCTATGCTACAAAAGCTGTCCAGCCTGAGTTTGTTTTGACAAGATAGGCTAAAAAAGAAGAATGGATACATTTCTTGGAGTTCTTCATCAACTGTTAGAAGGCGAGATATATTATACATTTATTTTCCTTTTATCCAGAAGAAGCAAAATGTGTTCTCTTTTTTAGTGTTATGTAAGCAGCCCCTGTAATGTATTGTATCTTCCTTGTGTTGGTTAGGATTAAGATTCAGGGAAGACTATAAAAACAACCTTTAGAATGAGCAGACAAGTGCAGATAACTACTAAGAGGAACAGCAGGAGCTGAGTTGAGTCCAAATTACATTATTATGGTTGTCCACAGAACTAGCTAGATATTTAGACTGAATTTAACACTTTTCTCCACCTATTGAGACTTGCCTATCTGTTCACAACAATGTAAAATCACAGCTGCCAGTTCTTTAGCTGGTATTGGCCTCCATATGTAACAGGTTCTTCCCAAGAACCCAGTATGTCATAATGTATATATGCATAGTCTATGTGTGAATCTAAACAGTGCGGCCTTTTGCTATTAAAAGATGGAAATGTTGTCAATGTTGTCAATCCCCAATACTTGGGGATCTTCTCCAATTCTTTGTCTTCTGTTCTGCATCCCCTGGTTTTGCAAGATCAGTTATCCACTTTCTTCTTTTCAACCACAGTTACACAAGAATTCATCAGCTGCCCAACTGTAGTGGCATGCATGTCTCTGTTGTAGACTTAACTGAAATATGTGATGCCTGATGAATGCATCTCTTTCTATATAGAGGAACCATCATTAAAGAACATGCCAGAATGAAAGAAGATGCATAGATTTCCACCAGGGATGGAACCTTTTGCTTGCAATTATGTTTTCAGGAGGCAACAAGAAGTGTTTCTTTCAGCTCCTGCTTATCATCTTCCTGGAATACTGTGAGACTACATGGGCATTTGATATGAACCAACAAGACTCTTCTTATGTTCTTATGGATGCTCATAACTGGCTTGTGTGGATGGTTATGCATTCTTTGGATACTCAGCGATATAGCCACACTGGTTACCAGCACTGAGAGTATATCCCCTATACCAGAGGTCTTCAAACTTGGCAACTTTAAGACTTGTGGACTTCAACTCCCAGAATTCTGTCTTAAAGCTGCCAAGTTTGAAGACCTCTGCCCTATACTCTCAGTGCTGGTGACCTTTGATGTGGCCTTGAGAAGGAATCAGAGAAAGAAGGAACCCAGCACAGAGAGGATGTTGGCATTATGTATGGACAAGGGAAGGCACAACAGGAGCCAGAAGTAGTGGGACTCAGGGAAGAGAGAAGCAACATTAATTTGACAGCCATTGGAGTGGCAGCCATTGTGAGGGGCAGGCCTGGCCAAGGAATGTTGCATTGTGGGGCACGGCTGGTTTTGTGCTAAGGTACCTTTCTGCCTCAGCAGTATAGGCATCTGCAGGTGTTAAAGGAAATATCATTCATTGATCAATTCTTCCAACAAAGGGTGCAGGTGCTGATATATTCTCTCCAGTGGCCCTAGTATTTTCCCTTCAAGCTGCTGCTGCTGCTGATATTATCCATTCAGTCATGCCTGACTCTTGGCAATTCTATGGGCCAGGTCTCTCTACGTCTTCTGATCTAGCGCTACTTCTCGGAGTCGTTCTATGCTCTGGCTGGTGTCAGCTTTGATGTCCAGCCATCGTATTCTTTGGCAGCCCAGTTTCCTTTTACCATTAACTTGTCCAAACATAATTGCTTTCTCCAATGAATCCCCCCACTGCATGACACAGCCAAAATAAGTGAGGCAGAATTTTGTGATTTTTGCCTTCCAGTGACATATCTGATGTTATATACTCCAGTGCTTGCTTGTCACCTTTGCCATCCAAGGAATATGCAGGAGCCTTCTCCAGCACCACAGCTCAAATGAACTGATTTTCTTCCTCTCTTGCTTGTTTTAAGGTCCAACTTTCACAACCATAGGTAACTACAGGGACACATTAGAGCACACTAACCTACATTTTATTGCCAGGCTGATGTCCTTGCTTTTCCATAATCGACTCATGTACAGTACATCATTGCTGCACAACCCAGTGCAATCTGATGTTTTATTTCTGGGCTGCATTCACTGCTTTGAACAATTTGCAATTCTAGGAAAGTTAATTTTTCCATGCCTTCTATCGCTTCACCATTAAATTTTATTTTCATGTTTCCATTCTTTGCAGTGGTCATGATCTTGGTCTTTTTGATGTTCAGAAAAAGACCAACATTCTTCAAGCTGAATCAACACAAAATACTGAAAAACTACTTTTTCTCTAAGAAGAAGAAAGAAGGAGGAAGGAAGAAGGAAAAAGGAAGAGGAGGAGGAGGAGAAGGAGAATTCTGCATCTTTATATGTTTTTGTACAGATTATGGAGATGCTATCAACCATATCCACTATTTTTGATACCTGTCTTCACCGAAAAGCTAGATCTGGAAGACAGAGGAGTGGGTAGGAGATTTGTTCACTCATCTCTTAATTTTTTTCTGTTGAGATATGCCTAGGCCATAAAAAAATTTTAAAAAATGTGAAGGGAGGTGGGAGATAATAGGAAAAAGAGATAAAACTATTAGTAAAGACATTTGCTTAGATTGTTGAGCCAGAACCAATTGGTTAGGCTAATTGCTAATTTCTGCTTAGTTTTCTCTGATGCTAAGTTGTTAATACATAATTTGTAGGCCATAGTGTAAGGAGAATGGTCCCAAACAGTGACTAAACTCATGGCCATCTTCGGCTAGCAACTGCTAAAAACTTTGCTGACTTAAGGATGACCTTAACTGGAAGCTGGGTGGGGAGGTGTTATCCTGCCAATTCAAATGAATTTCTTACCAACTTTTGATACCAAAACTAAGTTTGAAGGGTATTGTTTTAAAGTACTTATGATCTTTCTTCCCCAGAATGATCATGGGAGAAAATGTCCCTCCTATATTGTTCACAACTAAATGAAAGTTTTGAAGTGAGGAGTCAACAGTGTGTTGATGAGCTCTAACTCTACTTTTGCTTAAGGCTATGCTATTATAAATAATTTCCCTACTCCATCAAAGAGGCAGAGAAAAACAAGAGTCAGGTTTCTGCTCTACCAGATACATGATATCTTAGTTTCAACATCAGAGCCCTCCAAGACAAACAGCCAATAAGCCAGTCTTCAGTCCACATTTACTAACAAGCAACTATATTTTATATTAGTAAAATAATGAATAATTATTGTGGTACTAAACATTCATCATGGTTGATGTTAATGATGGATGATATTGCATCATTTTGGATGCAATCACTTAGCACTTGAATTAATGCATTATGCTAATTATTAATGCATTATGACAGTGGGCCAATTTACCATTACATTTAAATTGGCTGTGATGGGCAAAGTGTACGTAGGATGGGACTCACAAATAATTTCACATCCAGATTCTGACCAGAGTTATGTCTGCTAACTTATAAATAACTACCTAATGTCACTACAGTATAACATGCATCTTCTGACAATGACCTGGGAACAGGGAATGTTAGGAAGATATGCAGGTAGGAAAAACCAACTTATTATGGAGAGAGATGGTTAAATAACTATTGTGAGTTTTATTGGGTGAGGAAGATTGCTTGACAGTGATTGGCTAACATAGTTTTTGACTGACACATTAGCAGTGCTTCAGCCAGCAGAAGTTTCAGATTGACATAAATGGGTTTTTGTCAAAAAAAAAAAATGAAAGTGTTGTAGAAACCATCAGGGACTGTGAACAAATTATCTTATTAATTAATTAAACAAATGTACATGGCCACCTGACTCACACACGACAACTCCAAGAGGCTTACAACATGAAAAATCCACAACATAAAACCCCTAAACTCCACATTAGACAAGTTAATAACAAAATAAGGTAATAAATTAAGATGCCATTTATTTAAAATCCCTTTGCTACGAGGGATTCAGTGCTACTATCCCCTTAGCTCAATTGTTCTTTGAATAGGGATTAATTGTATTGTAGTAGATCTTTAAGGGCCAGCACTAAATCTACAATTTTGAACATAATTAACAAGCTAACACAGAAATACGTTGCTTATTATTCAGATGGGATAAAAACAGGAATTTAGGCAGAATGGAACACTTTTCTCTTGCACCATTTTTTTTCTTTGAACATTGGCTATTTGTTTTACACTGATAGGGAAAGAGGCTGCAGCAGTTTTTCTAATTTCTTAGAGAGTTAACGTGGTTAATAAGTCTTGCTATATGGAAGATGCAACAACAATGAAGCAAATGCCAAAGCTTTGAGTTGTGCCCAGTTCCTTGCTGAGGCAGATTCCAAAAACGATGAACCATAATTCAAGCATGCTGAGTCAAACTTCAGCACTGTTCATCCAAATGTACTGACTCAAGTGTTATTGCACAAGTAGTGCCCTTTCAGTGTTCTCCCAACTGTGTGGGAGTCACTTTTCTGTCTATTGCTGGGAGAATATTTCAAATAAACTGATCACATGGGTGAATGACTTGCATGAGCAATGCCTATGATTGGTTGGGTTGGATTCTTTATACCTTCTCCCAGTCGCATAGGGAGATGACGAGGACAAAGCAGGGGTCAGAATACAGTGAAGGACAGCCAAGGGTTGTCATTGGCAAATAAGGAGCCATTGGCAAGTAAGGAGAAGAAAGGCTTTTGAAGCCAAGGAAGGAAGGAATGGTGAGAGCAGAAAAGATGAGTGGGTTCCTAACACTGAATGAGGCATCTTTGGAAAAGAATGGGATCCAATTAAAAGAAGGCAAAGTAGAGAGAAGTGATAAAATAGCTTTACCAAAACAGCCTTTCCCAACCTAGTGCCTTTGAAACTATAGCTCCAAAAATTCCAGCCAGGGTTCTCTTGAGAATTTAAGAATCATAGTACTAATCGTAGAGAGCATTGTGCTGGGGAAATAGTTATATGGAACAGTCCTACTGAGCCAGCATTGAGCAATGGTTCCAGAATATTTATTTTACCTCAGTTCTTAGATAGTCCAGAGCGGTGTTTTTCAACCTTGACAGCTTTAAGGTGCATGGACATGTTGGCTAGAGAATTTGGGGAATTGAAGACCAAACACCATAACGTTGCCAAGATTGAGTAATACTGCTCCAGAGTATGACCAACCTACTCTGTGCAAACATCCCCCATAAACATCTCTTCCAACCCTAGCAAATTCTACCTAACATGTAGACTACTTCAGTTGAGTAGTCTACATGTTAGGTAGAATTTGCTAGGGTTGGAAGAGATGTAGCAGTGCTATTCCCAAAGAGCACTGTTTGGGAATGATTGTTAGGCTTTGGAGTAAAATAACCAGAAGGTTCAGAAGGGATCTAAATGGCATATTGATAGCCTTGGTAGATAACAAGGGGAAGCAAGCAATGCTCAAGAGGACGGTGTATGAATAAATGTGATCAGAAAAGGAACAAATTATAATAAGGCTCCATCAACCTGAAGTCATCTTTGTGCCAGTTATGCAGAAACTATAGATACCTTCTGCAAATGCTGGATGTTTTTGAAGACATTTATGTGGAGCAGCTCTGAAATGCATCTTGATGCCCTGGCTTCAGCCAACAAGAGAGCTGATATGAGCATGAAGACCAGCATGCAGTACAATGGATCCAGAGGTACACTGGGTAAGTGCTTACCTGGACCAGAGAGCAGACCTTACCTTTTTTCTCTTTCTTTTCCTCCTCTTCCCCACCAGCACCCAGCAAAGTAAAGATGATCCCAGTCTGTGAGTTGACTCCAACAGCAGAGATAACCATTCGCCCAGAGCCTTCCATGACATGGGTGCCTAAATCAAAAGAAAAGTCAGAAGAATACTAAATGGAAATGTTAGGAACCCAAGAAGTAGATCTTCTGGATTCATTACAAGCTGAGCTATTCTGGAAAAGGTACAGCGTTATTTGACATCTACTGATAGCATGATTAGCAAAATGTTAGTAAAATGTTCTCATAGGGCTGTGCAGTACTTGGACCTGAAGGGAAAGATATGTTTTGGAGCCCCTGTTGCAACTCTTAAAAGCAGATGTGAATTTTTCCAGAATTTTTTGTTTGTTTATTTCTATCCTTTATTATTTGTTTACTTTATTATTTTTACAAATAACTCCAGGCAGCAAAAATATCCAGCACTGCTTCCTCCTCTTTTTCCCCCACAACAACAATCCTGTGAGGTGAGTTGGGCTGAGAGAGAGTGACTGGCCCAAAGTTATGCCTGAAGCAGGACAATGAACTCACAGTCTCCTAGTTTCTTCCCTGGTGCCTTAACCAGTAGACCAAACTGAATTGCTTGGCTGCAGCAACATCATGGGAAAAGAGACATTTGGATGAAGGAATTACTAATGGGTACTATGCCTGTGTTCAGAGGCTCACCAGAACTAATATGCTGCAGTTGATAAATCTCAATATTCTAGCAAATGACAGTAATTACATAACAGTGTTGATTTTGCAAATCTGAAATCTGCTGCTGTAAGCCACTGGTTGTCAGTCTAGGCCTTAAAGCAAGGGTGTTAAACTCGCAGTGTCATGTCATCACACAATGTATCATGACTTTCCCCACCTTCGCTAAACTGGGGGTGGGCGTGCCAGTGAGTTTGACACCCCTGCCTTAAAGAGATCTATGCTTCCTCAGAAGCTTAACCTGAAGAGTTAACCATAATGTAAGACTAATTCCTCTCAAAAAACATTGGAACTTTCTATGTGATCTGCCGCCACAGAGAACTATTGGATGAGTTTTTAATTTATTTAGCAGCCCTGGTGGTGCAGTGGTTAAAATGCAGTATTTGCAGCTAACTCTGCCCACTGCCAGGAGTTTGATCCTGACCAGCTAAAGCTTGACTCAACCTTCCATCCTTCTGAGGTCGGTAAAACGAAGACCTGGATTGTTGGGGGCAATATCCTAACTCTGTAAACTGCTTAGCCTTAGAGAGTGCTATAAAGCATGGTGGAGCACTATATAAGTCTAAGCTCTATTGCTATTGCTATTAAGTACGTAGTTTCAGTTCAAGAGGTATGGCAATGAAACTTGAGAGGCCTGGCTAGCACTCCATGGCTGGTTTCAGACAAATCACTAGAGGAGCTAAAATTGTGTTAGGAGTTTTGTGTTTCAGTATCTTGAAAGATCTTAGCAACTGCTCAGTCATATCATTTGAAACAGGCCATCACATTAAGCCACAGCAATTACACATTCTTAGGCTGGGATTTAAGATTTAGTGTACCTGAACCAGATTTGCCCCATTAGATCACTCCCTGAGATCATCTTGGCCATATAATGAAGTATACTGCTGTTTAAGTGTAGATATTACTAATTAAGGCTCAGCCCCCAAAGCTATAAAATAGTGGTAAAGTGTAAAGCGCTTCCCAAAATACAGGGAATGCCTTAGCACCAGAATGATGTAGTCCTTTTTGAAGACAAAAGACTGTAGCTTGTGGGCATCACCTGAAGTGCATTGAGTCTCATCTCCATACGGCTCATCTATCTCATGTGGTCCCTGCTCTTTTGGAGCTGACTCAGTCCCTGGGCTGTTCCTTAGCAAGTAATGAAGGCACTTTGATACTTGCTCCAGACTTGAGAGATTCAATATGAAGATGTACATCTTGGCTGAGCTGAAACTTTTCTTTTGGCATCTTGCTTTTAAAAGCTCCATATTTCTAATCAGTGTCAGTAACTTGTATGATTCATGCCGGTGATTCATCCAAATCATTATGTGATCTGACTGTGAGCAGAAAACAAAAGATGAATGGGCTTTTGGCTGTTCCATGCCTGTGGTGTGAGGGACCTTTTGTGGCTTAGAAAAACACCAACCTTTGGATTTTTCTGGGGAAAAGTGGACTTGGAGTTGAAGGATATAAGACCAATAGATTGCGACCTTTTTGCTGTTACATCATGTGAACTGTCTGCAGAACTCAAATGCAGTTACTACAGATATATGTAACTCTTACAAGAGCTTCATGGGGCCCAGAAGCCTCTGAAGCATTTGGTACTCAGTGTGAAAAATAGAAATGAGTGTCCTTCCACCATGCCTATATTCCAGTTAAACTTAAGCCTCGATAGGCTTCCCTCACTTTGTGCCAAACTTGATGTTCCCTGAAAATCTCTCATAAAAAGGAATTTGCAGAAAGCAAGATGCCATCCCCCTGGAAAAAAAGGGCTGTCTGGAATACGGTGCCAAATTCTGTAACCTAAATACATCAACAAATGTGCTAGTAATTTTTTAGAGGGCAGAAAGGGTTTTTTGAGAGAAAATGTTCAAGCAGTTTCAGTGGGGAAAACCTTGGCATGCTTCCAGAGTTTTGATACAAATTTACACTGGCCCAAATCACATTTTGGACAAAAATGATAAATCACAAAATAGCACATGTGCAAAAAACAAAGGAAACCTATAGATCCAGGCATCCTTTACATGCTACAAGAGATCCTATGGGAGACATGCAGGAGTCATTTACAGAAAGGAATAGATATATTTTCTTCACTTTATTTTTTACATATATAATAGTAGATTTGGTATCTATTGGTATTAATATGGTTATATCAGGGGTAAAATGCTCCCGGATCGGGCTGGATCACCAGGTCCAGTAGCAATCTTGGCCATTGGTTCAGCGATCCGGTAGCGATGGCAGAGCAAAGCTTCGCCCATCCGCCTGGGTGTCATTACTTCCTGGTTTTAACCAGGAAGTAATGTTTTTTTTACCTTCTGCACATGCACAGAAGGTTTGTGCATGCATGTGATGCAAACTGATAAGGAAGGTAAGTAGATTTCACCCCTGGGTTATATTATTATGTTGCTACTTAGTTTTGATGTAGTCTCCTACTTAACCTTTGTAAAAAGAAATGTTAACTGTAATGGTTTTTGAAGACATACATATTGTGACTTTGAATTCGTTTTAACTCTTGACAAGTCCCTGCAGTTCTCTTGGCAAGGATTTTCGGGGGTGGTTTGCCAATGCAAACTTCCTAGGGCTAAGAAAGAGTGACTAGCCCAAAGTCACCTAGAGGATTTTGTGCCTAAGGTAGGACTAGAACTCCTAATTTCTAGCCCAGTGCCTTACCTGCCAAATCTTACTTTCTCAGTAACTATATTAAGCCAGAGTTGTAATGGAATATACAGGAAAAGAGAGAAAGAGATGCTGCTTAGGAAACAATCAGGTAAGAGAATAGGAGCCCACAGTTGCATAAAGTCAGAGAAAGAAACTTACGAAAGACTTGCCTTCGTTAAAAGTTTGTGCCTTTAGAGTTTTAAGGTTGTGTTAATGTTAATGTAGCTTTACAACAAAGTAGAATTAGTTCATCTTGGCACTGTCAGATGTACCTCACCTGATAGCAACATGGGATCTTTGTCCGCTGATTTGCGCACATGATCTGACTCCCCTGTTAAAGAGCTCTCATCTATCTTGAGGTCATTCCCCTGGATAAGCACTCCATCTGCAGGAAGCAGGTCACCTAGGAGAGAAGAGAAACAGGTTAAGCAATTAACTCCATCAACAAATACTGGTAGCCTACAATCTTATGCCCATTATATACAATGGATGCCACGCAGAGATACCCATTTTGCTTCCGTAATTACTAAGTGAGCAATAAGCATATTCAATAAACAGCGATACACAGTGCTGCTTCTTAGTGCTTCCAGAATTTCAGTGGGAATTTAAAAGAAAAAGATATGCATACTTACAATAATTATATTTCTGGAATTAAGTATAAAGAAGTACAACAAAACAGATGTGAAGACAGCTGTGCACATATTTGCCACTGCCATTTTTATTGGGAAGCGAATGGGAGAAGGGAAAGTTTATCTAAATCCTGGATGGATGGACAAAATAGTGTAAATTTCTGTTGTGCAGATTGTTTGAATGAACAGAGTTCTGTGGTCAATTCATTGCATTCCTTGAGAAACAAGAAATGGAAGAGCAGTGGCATAATGAGAAAAAAAAGCTTTTGTCTAGACATAGTCTTAGATAATCTTAAATTTTCATCCCTGATGCCCCATCATAAGCTTTGAGACTAAGCATCTCTGCATTACAACTGTAAAAGAAGCTCGTATAAAGTTGAACCACTAGTCCCCTCTGGGGCACCATGGAACACTTTGTTTATCAAGTATGTTTGGTGTTCCCAGAGACAGAAACTAGATATCAGAATTGTTTTAAATCCAGTCCCTGGGGGTATCTCCATGCAGCTGAATTTGCCTTGCAGGACAGGGCTAAGCTGAGTGATCGTCTACCTCCTGCCTTCCCTCTTACCATATTTGATCTGGGCGATGTCTCCCACCACCAGCTCAGCCACGGGAATTTGGACCTGTTGGCCATTGCGGATGACAGTGAATTTCTGTTCCTGTTCTATGCGGCTTTGCAGACCTCGGAACTGCTTCTCCTTGCTCCAGTCGTTGAATGCTGTGACCAGCACTACACAGATCACTGACAGTAGGATAGCAGCACCTTCAATCCAACCAGCTTCTGACTCACCCTCATCCTCTCCACCCCCTGACACATTCCCGCAGACTGGAAGGAGAAAAAAAGGAAAGTGTTGGTTACAGGAAGACTCCTCTGATCACACATCACTTCTTCTTAAATCAGGAAGAGGTGCCATGAATCCATCAGCCACAATATCTGGGGCTGCAGATGAGTAGAGGTGCAACTGTCTGTTTCTCAACTTCAGCAACTTTAAGCTATATGGACATCAACTCTCAGGATTCCCTAGCCATCATGTTGGCTGGGGAATTCTGGGAGTTGAATCCACACATCTTGATGTAAATAGTGAAGGGGTCCCTACCTCCTTCTTACAGTCCAGTCTCCTTCTCAAACAGCTACAGACCTGAGATTTCCTAGGAATGAGGCAACAGCTATAAAAGTTGCTGATTTTACCACTCAATTTTCCAGTATTAATAGTCCTTGGTCTCATACAACTGTCAAGATGAGGTCCCATAACCTTGTTGTTTTGTCTGTTGATGCATACAGACCATTGCAAAATTGCATAGAATTGGATATTTCTCCTATCTATTCCAAATGGATTGTGGGAGATGTTGGAGTTTAATATTTACCTGTTAAACTCATCAATAGGAAAGTAAATGGATGGTAACAGAATTAAACTAACCTGAACACCTGATCTTGCCTGGGTAAAACTGCTAAAATAAGCCTTCCATGGTTCATCTACAAATTATATTAGGGAGTATCTCCTTTGAAGGGAGTTTATCTGCTTATTCAAGAAGACTTCCTTCAGGTTTCCTGCTTTAAGAGTTGAGAAGAGTTGAGAAGTCTTCTCAATGGCTGTCATGTCCCTTTGGAACAGTTTCTTCTCCACTGCTGAGATTTGGACAGCCCCATTTTGGACAGCTTTTAGAGAATGATCAAAAGAATGTCGTTCCCTTGGGCATTCAGAATCCAAGCAGTATCTGTTGTACTATTGTTTTATCTGTAGATCAGTGGTGAAATCCTACCAGTTCACACCAGTTTGGGCGAACCGGTAGTGATAAAATCTACCAGTTCAGCAAACCAGTAGTAAAAAAAGCTACCGGTTGGTCCGAACCGGTACTTCCGATGATCAGCTGTGCTGCACAATTTATATTCGCTAGAAAGCAGGAAATCCTGCACAGCTGTTCCCCCCCCCCATCGCTATTCTACTTACCTTCAAACCAGGGGTGAAATGCTCCTGGTTTGGACTGGCTCGGGCGAGTAGGTAGTGTTGGTGGCGGGCAGTTCGGAGAACCGGTAGCAAAAATCCCTGCCCCTGCCCCCCATGCCCAGCTGAGCCGCGCGATCATCAGTGGCTTTTTTTCTTTTAAATGGCTCTGACGATCCCAGCTGAGTTGCCTGATTGTCAGAGGGTTCTTTAAAAACCCTCTGACGATCAGGCAACTCAGCTGGGATCGTCAGAGCCTTTTGAAAGCATTTTTTTACATGGTTTTACATGTAAAAAATGGTTTTAAAAGTAAAAAAAATTGGCCACGCCCACCCAGTGACATTACCACCACCACCAAGCCACGCCCACAGAACCGGTAGTAACAAATTTTAGATTTCACCACTGCTTCAAACGGCTCCTTTATCCGTGTGAAGCGCATGTTTGGTGTACATGTGCACACAGCATGCATCTGGCACGCACTGTGCATTTGCATGCAGCGTGCATCTGGCATGCACTGCGCATGCGTGCGCAGAGCACGCATCTGGCGTGCACCACACATATCCGGGCAGCAAACTGGTAGTGACCCGCGGAGGATTTAATCACTGCTGTAGATGATGGGTCAAATTCTACTGTTGTTGTTATGACTATTTATGGCTTTGATGAGGAGCTTGCTTGATTTATTTTAGGGATCTGTCTTGTGAATTGGCCTTGGTTGCGTGACAAGAATGGTATATTCAGTAAATACTCTAATCAATCAAACAGTTTCTGGCACTGGATGGCCATGGGGCATTGTGGGAGGTTTCAATGGTGGCACTCAGTTATATTTTCCATAATACTCCAGAGCAATGTTTTGCAATTTCTTGAAATGAGGAACTCCATCCATGTGAGGTTGTCATGGCAGAGATGGCAGGGATCCAACCTTACCTTCACTTTCTTCACCCGGTGGAGCATAAAAAGACAGTCCCAAGGAGATGATGGCAGCAATTTCCAGAATGATTAGGGTCACATCCTGAAGTGCCTCCCACACTAACTGCAGGAAAGTCTTGGGCTTCTTTGGGGGGATAAAGTTCTGTCCGTAGATCTGTCTTCTCTTTTCCAGATCAGCTGTGTTATCAGAGAGACCTGGGGACAAAAAAAGAGAGTGGTAAGAATGAAGCAGCAAGTCTGCTAGGCCTCTTTGAGAGAGGCTAGAGAATGTCAATGTACCAGGAGAAAAATGCATTAATCAGCTTTCCCAACTTGTTACCTCAGGAGCTAGATTACAATGCCCATTGTCCCCAGCCATAAATTACCAGGGGGGAGAAGGCTGTTATGTTCTCCAGACGTTCTATGATGATCTAGGTTTATGCTTTTAATGTTTTAAGTGGAGTTCTGCAGATGAAGGGAAAGGTTTACGGTATGCACTTACCAACCCACCTCAGATAACTCTAGCTCTTGCTTGGAAATTAAAATTACTGTTGCTATGTAGGTGAAGTTTCCTAGCTTTCTTGATGTTCTCTTGTTAGTGGATTGCTGGGTGATTTCCAGTATAGAAAAGAGCGGTATAAGGCTGCTTATATCATGATCTGGGATGAAGTAACCAATGCCATAAGAATAGGAAGATAAGCTATGTTCATTTATCTATTTAGATTTATATCTAATTTATAGTTCTTGTTTCTACAGGTAGTCATTGATCTATGACCGCAATTGAGCCCAATTTTTTTTTAAAGCAAGACAGTTGTTAAGTGAGTTTTACCTCAGTTTTACAACTTTTCTTGCCTCATTTGTTAACACTAGAATTATTAAGTTAGTCACACGGTTCTTAAGTGAATCCGGCTTCCCCACTGATTTTGCTTGTCAGAAGATCACAAAAGGTCATCACACGACCCCAGGACGTTTCAACTGTCATAAACATGAGCCTGTTGTCAAGCATCCAAACTTTAATCATGTGGTTATGGGGATGCTGCAACAGTTGTAAGTGTAAAAAACGGTCATAAGTCACTTTTTTCAGTGCCATTGTAACTTTGAATGGTGATTAAAATGAATGGTTGTAAGTCAAGGAGTGCCTATATTGCCTTTTGTTCCCATAATTCTCCCATTCCCCTCCCCCAACCAACAGCCATTGGTGAGGTAGGTTGGATTGGGATGGACTTGAACTGGGGTGTAGATTTGAACTTGGATGCCCTGATGTCAACCCAACACTTTAAGCCCTATAGAACAAAATAAAAGAAAGTAAATGTGGGTTTAAGTCTAAAGAAGGGATCCTTAGTCAATGGCTTTGCCCGCTTAAAAATCAGCAAGAGATACTCTATATTCTTAAGTGCTCAGTTATGCCTTGGAGGACAGATCCTGCATATCCAATAAGTTTCAGTTTTAAGTGGAGTTAATGGGGGAGAAAGGGTCTTCCTTCTACTGCAGAATTGTAAAGGAAAGGCAACACATTTCTTCTTTCTATTCTCCATCCCCCTTCACCCCCCCCAACTTAAAATCTGATTCAGAGGAATAGGAGAACTAGGTTAGTTAACGCTTTTCTGGAATTCTGTCAGCATTTCATCAGGACAAAGCAAGAATAATCTCTGATTTTTAGAGAGTGTACTAAAGCCCATTTATTGTAAAATAAATTTGGTAACAGTAGTCATTTTCAGCAAGCAACAGACACCATGTCTCAGTCCAAATGGGGAGCCTGGTACTACTTTCCTTTCCCATGATTTTTGTATCACCTTGGTCTGGGTCACAAATCACAAGTAATTTTACTATCCAGGGTAAGCAGTGGAGGTAAGCTGACAGTGGTCTAGGCCCCACACTGCAGAATGATTAGGAGGGCCCTCCTCCCCCAGAGGGAGTATGGCTTCTATTGTATTTTGAAGAAAATAAAAGAAAACACAAGGTCATCTAAAACAGACCCTCAGTAAAGCTATTAAGTCCAGAGCATAAAGCTATGTAAACTGCGTCCTGGCCTACATATGGTAGTTCATCTTTGTGAAGAAAGTATTTTCTCTAGCATTTCACTATTACATGCTTATTAAATCCCCAGAATTCACACCTAAATATTGCTTCTTTGTTTTCCACCTCCTTCCTAGCCAGGGGTGCTGCTAGGATTTATTTATTTATTTATTTATTTATTTATTTATTTATTTATTTATTTATTTATTTATTTATGTCAAGCATGTATAAGATAACAGATATAAGTATACACATGATTATGAATACAGGAAATGGGTACAAATCAGTGGTGGATTGCTCCTGGTTCTGTCTGGTTCTTTAGAACCGGTAGTAAAAGCAGCGGGAGGCTCCGCCCACCTGCCCAGACATCATAATTGATGATCAGCACATGTGCATGCGTGCACGCGCTCCCATTGCAACTTAAAGTAGTAGAGGTAAGTAGAACCCACCCCTGGTACAAATAAATGGGGACAGTAGGACAGGGACGGTAGGCATGCTGGTGCGCTTATGCACGCCCCTTACTGACCTCTTATGGGGTGAGGTCAACAGTAGACAGTCTAAGGTTAAACTTATGGGGGTTTGGGGATGAAACCAGAGTCAGGTAGTGCATTCCAGGCATTGACCACTTGGTTGTTGAAGTTGTATTTTCTGCAATTGAGTTTGGAGCGGTGTACCTTAAGTTTGTATCTATTGTGTGCTCGTGTATTGTTGCAGTTGAAGCTGAAATAGTCATTGACAGGTAGGACGTTGGAGCAGATAATTTTGTGTACTACACTTAGGTCAGATCGAAGGCGACATAGTTCTAAGCTGTCTAAGCCCAAAATTTCAAGCCTGGTGGTATAAGGTATTCTGTTGTGAGCAGAGGAGTGAAGGACTCTTCTTGTGAAATTGGATGAAATCGTGAAATTGGGTGTTTTCACCCAATCAAAACTACCATATATAAAGGACCCTTCTTCTCTTCATGAGGAGAAGTCCGGAAGGGAACTGAAAAACTTCTCATTCACAGCACTGTCAGCCTGATCACGTCTGGTCAAGTAAGGGTAGGATTTCAGAGTCTACCAATAGAACAAGCAAGAGCACCATACTGAGGCAGGGCAGGCTTGCCCCAGATTGGGCTGCTATCCCCTCAGATTCCCTCTCTGCAGTGTTAGGGCATTAGCCTCCTCTGGAAGCTGTGAATGTCAAGCCAATGGGTATAGGTTGGCACTTCAAAGACTTGGCACCTGCGGTGAAGGAGGAGGACTTCACCCCAGGTGGGATTCAGTAGCTCCTGGGAAATGAAAGGGCCAACTGGGTGGCACTGCAGTTGTCTTCTCTTCCTTTGCTCACCTTTCCTTAGCTTTGTTAGGCCCTTGTTAAATATTAAAAATGCCAGAGAGCCAGGCAAGCAGCAGGAATGACAACCTGGAGTTTGCTCTCAAATACCCTCTACAGCTGGTCCTGAGGTGCCAGAGCAGTGCCTCTGCTTTTCAAGACAAGGAGGCAATAGAGCAGCAGGTTCAAATTACAGAGGCTGGGTACTCTGGATGCTAAAAAAAAATATGTAGTTTGTTTAATAAAAGAAACTAAGGTGTTATTTTAGTCAGCCTGGCAAGCTGATTTGGGTGAGCTTCAGTGTGTTTTCTCAGCCCAGTAAGCCCTTTAATATCTGAAAGGAATAATAATAATGAAGTGGATAAAAATACACCCTGGGAATGGCTTACAACTGGAACATCAAAAAAAGAAAGTGAAGGCTTGATGTTGGCTACACAAGAGGAAGTTGTTCAAATTAATGCAACCAATGTCAGAATTGGGGGGAAAAAAACCATCAAATGATTCAAAATACAGATTGAGCAAAGAAGCAGAAGAAATAATAGATAATATACTCAGCTCATGCAAGCAGATTGCACAAACTGCTTATAAACAATAACATAACAGAATTGCCAAAATGATTTACTGGAACATCCGTAAAAATTATCATGTGCCAGTAATGAAAAATTGCTGGGCATATACACTTGAAAAAGTAGTTGAAAATAAGCAAATTAAAATATTGTGAGATTTCTGAATAACAAACTGATAAAATCTTTGCCCATAACACACCAGATTTAACTGTGGAAGAAAGTGCAGATAACTGATATGGCAATATCAGGGTATTGTGGAATTGAAAGCAAAAAACTGGAGAATATCACAAAGTATGAAGATCTATAAAAAATTGAAAGATTATGGCATAAACTGGAAGTGGTGGGCCCAATGGCTATCAGCATATTGCGTGTCAGAACCCAAAAAACCTTGGATGACACTTAGAAATTATGCATTGACAAAAAATCCATCTGTCAATTACAAAAAGACACACTGCTTGAATCTGCAGGTATATTATATTGACATATTATAACTTTCTAGGTTCTTGGGAAGGTATCAAAAGGCAAATACTAGCTAAAGAACTGGGAGGTATATGATGCAGTGGTGGGTTGCTCCTGGTTCGCACCGGTTCGTAAGAACCGATAGTAAAAATTTGTAGTAGTTCGGAGAACTGGTAATAACATTGGCTGGCCATGCCCCCGAACCGGTCCCCGGCCCGGTCGCCACTTGCTTACCCCACCCACCTCATCAGAGGCTTTTAAAAAAATTTTTAAAGCATTTTTTCTACAACCTCTTCGGCGGAAAAAATGCTTTTAAAAGTTAAAAAAAAAAGCCTCTGATGATCGCGTGGCTCAGCTGGGATCGTCAGAGGCTTCTGAAAGCATTTTTTCTGCAACCTCTCCGGCCGAAGAGGTTATAGAAAAAAAAATGCCTTTAAAAGCCTCTGGCGATCCCAGCTGAGTTGCCTGATTGTCAGAGGCTCCTGAAAGCATTTTTTTCTGCAACCTCTCCAGCCGAAGAGGTTGTAGAAAAAAAATGCCTTTAAAAGCCTCTGGCGATCCCAGCTGAGTTGCCTGATCATCAGAGGCTCCTGAAAGCATTTTTTTCTGCAATCTCTTAAAGTTGTAGAAAAAATGCTTTTAAAAATAAAAAAAAAAGAAAAAAAAGTTGGCCACGCCCACCCAGCCACATTACTCCCCACCAAGCCACGTCCACAAAATAAGCCACGCCAACAGAATCAGTAGTAAAAAAATGTAGAACCCACCACTGATATGACGTCACATTTTTGTATATATGAATGTATTTTCATGTTTGATTTAAGCAATTATATTAAACATAAATTGTTAAGTGTTGATCAATTC